AAAAAATTCCAAAATTGAAGTCTGATATCCACTTTTTTGAGAAATTTTGGAGTTTTCATGGCCCGGTGTTGAAAAGCCTTGAAATTTTAGGGCCGAGAATACATCTCGGGGTTAGATAATGTCATTTGGAACCATATATGATCATTATTTCTTGTCATAAGTGTTTGTGGTTGGCTTGAATTAATGAAATCGGTGCAACGTATAAACCGGTAAATTGGCCGTTTAAAGGCAAATTAGATGGTTCCACCCATCCAATTGGAATCCCGGAGTGTATTAGGGACCATGGTAAACATTTCAGTAATTTTTATTTCAGGGCGAAAAAAACTCAAGATATTCCAAAATTTAATCCTTATATCCACCTTTTTGAAAAATTTTGGAGTATTCGGGGCCCGGTGTCTAAAAGTCTCAAAATTCCAGGAAATACATCTTGGGGTCATATAATGTCGTTTGGAACCATATGTGATCATTATTTTTGTCATAAATGTTTGTGTTTGGCCTGAGTTAATGAAATCAGTGCAAGTTGTAAACCGGTAAATTGGTCGTTTAAAGGCAAATTGGATGATTTCACCCAACCAATTGGACTACCAGAGGGTATTAAGGAGTAAGTTAAAATTTTGGCAATTTTTATTTCTAGGAAAAAAAGTGAAAGAGTTCCAAAATTGAAGGCTAATATCCACGTTTTTTGAGAAATTTTGAAGGTTTCGGGACCCAGTGACGAAAAGACATGAGATTTTAGGGAATACATCTCGGGTTCATATAATGTCGTTTGGAACCATATATGATGATTATTTGCTGTCATAAATGTTCGTGGTGGGCTTGAGTTAATGAAATTGGTGCAAGTTGTAACCCTGTCAATTGGCCATTTAAAGGCAAATTGGATGGTTCCACCCAGGCAATTGAACTCTCGGAGGGTATTAGGGACCATGGTAAATATTTCAGCAATTTTTATTTCCGGGAGAAAAAAAGTCAAAAAAGTTCCAAACTTGAAGGCTATCCACGTTTTTTTTAGACATTCGAATGTTTTAGGGCCTGGTGTCGAAAAGCAATGAGAATTTATGGGATAAATCTCGGGTTCACATATATAATGCCGTTTAGAACCATATATGATCATTATATGTTGTCATAAATGTTCATGATTAGCATGAATTAATGTAATCAGTGCAAGTTGTAAACCGGTAAATTGGTCATTTAAAGGCAAATTTGATGGTTCCACCCAACCAATTGGACTTCGGATGGTAATATGATCATGGTAAACATTTCGGAAATTTTTATTTCCCGGCAAAAAAAGTAAAAAAAATTCCAGAATTGAAGGCTAATGTCCACGGGTTTTTTGAAATTTCCAATGTTTCTGGGCCCGGTGTTGAAAATATCTGAGATTTTAGGGGATGCGTCTCGGGATCATATAATGCCGTTTGGAACCATATATGATCATTATATGTTATCATAAATGTTCATGGTAGGCTTGAGTTAATGAAATCGGTACAAGTTGTAAACTAGTAAATTGGTCGTTTCAAGGCAAATTTGATGGTCTCACCCAGCCAATTGGACTCCCGAAGGATATAAGAAACCATGGTAAACATTTCTGCATTTTTTATTTCCGAATGAAAAAAAGTCCCAAAATTCCAAAATTGAACGCTAATATCCACGCTTTTTGAGAAATTTTGGAGGTTTCGGGTAGAGTGTCAATTTGGGTAAACGGGTTGGGTTTGGGTCGGTAAAAGTGGGTCGGGTCGGTAAAAGTGGGTCGGGTCAACTCGGGTCGGGTTAATTCGGAATAATTCCATCACCTATGCGGGTCGAGTTCGGGTTGGGTCATGCTTGAGTCGGGTCATACTTCTTATCGGCTTTGGGTCGGGTTAATAACAGGTCGGGTTTCATTCGGGTTGGGTGATAACTTGTATTTTGGTATGGTTTTAGGTGTCTTTGAACCTTGTTTACTTGATAAAATCAGTGTTTTGGTTCACTTTTGCTCTATTACTATGCAATTTTTGTGTACCCTATGCTTCACGGGTTGTTGGTGTTTTTGTTGAGTTGCTAGGCCTAAAGACGACCAAGTGAAGCCTATGGATGATGAATCAAATTGGAAAGCAAGAAGATGATGAAAAGAAGCCAAAGTAAAGTAGCCAAGTGAAGAAGAAGAAGAAGAAACTGCAGTGGAGCGGCCTCTCCTTAGGCGCGGCCTCTCCAGGTTAGTGGAGAGGCCTCTCCACCCTTTTGCTGCAGCTACTGCCAAAGTTGGCAGTTTCAAGGATTTTGTGAGGAGAGGCCTCTCCAACTTTGTGTCGTGGCCTCTCCATTTGGAGCGGCCTCTCCACCTATTTGGAGAGCCCTCTCCACCTCGTTGCCAAACTTCCTGCCTCACTTGGCAGTTTTGAAAGAAGAAGTGAGGAGAGGCCTCTCCAACATTATGCCGCGGCCTCTCCTCCTGGAGCGGCCTCTCCACCTTTCTGGAGAGCCCTCTCCGCCCTGCTACGAAGCTTTCTGCCATTTTGTCTCCAGTTTGGAGCGGCCTCTCCACTCACATGGAGCGGCCTCTCCAGGCCTTGGAGAGGCTGCGCCCGACGGGTTCCGCGAACTTTCTGTTGCGGAGTTTACTATGAAATTGGGGGTTATAAATAGCTTTAAGGGGCTCATTTGTGGGGATCTTCTTCTCTCTGAACTCCATTAGACTTATTATCTTAATTATTTCATAGTTTTCCTCTCCCTTAGTTTAGTTTCTCAAAAACTCAATCATTTGTAAGAATTATTGGAAGTTTGTTCCATCAATTTCAACAAATTTTTCCAACTTTGAAGTTTATTAAGTAATCTCTTTCCTCTATCTCTTGCTCTTAATTTTCAATTTTAATTGTTTTGAGTTGATAATTTCTCCCTTAATCTTGTTTATTTATTCTTGCATGTTTAATCCATCCTTGTTTCATCTCTTTCCTAGCTTATTTGAATTCATGAAAACCCTAGATTTAATTGTTAGAGTAATTTCCACCATGTTTAGTGAGTAGTCTCTTAGTTAGGGGTTGGGTGAAGACCCAACCAAGCTATGGCTAATTGACTTGGAATTATTCATGTGCTACCTTGGATTGATAATTGTTTGTGCTTGAATTGATAATTGCATGTGTATTTTGTTGGCCACAATATGCCCATGTGTTCATCCCTCTTCTCACATCGAAAGATGGGGTTTTGGAGTGAGTCTTTTCTTGTGTAATTAGATTATGCTACTTTCATGATTTTGGATGTTTGGTTTCATTGACTAGGTTGCTTTAGTATGGTAATTAGGTGAGAAATCCCAATTATTTGAGTTTCATGCTAGTTCGGAGCGATCGAGAGGCAAACTCGATCTAGAAACCCACTTCCTATCCTTGAGACTTAATCCTTATCGTGTTAATGCTTAATCTAGGGAGTACTTATGTTGTGACTTTGAAAGAAGGCAATGTTAAGTTCCTTTTCTATCTTCTATGTGTGCTCATGATTTATCCTTGTTATTGATTCCTTGGCTTTGGTTGGTGTTGAATCCCGTTTCCCCTAGCGTTCTTTTATATAGTAGCTAACCATTCAAAACCCAATTTGTGACGAATTAGCTTACAACCGTTTCATACTCTCGGTGTACTTACCCATTTCCTGTGGAAACGATCCTCTACTTACCCTAGACTTGTCTTAGGTTGGTTTAGGTAGAAATATTGTTTGGTTTTAGGGTAATTGTCCAACGACCGATTATTCCTCTGCCAAAATGGCGCCGTTGCCGGGGAATGGCGTTAAGCATTGAGTTACTTATGAGATATGTGAGACTAGTTCATTTGTATAGCTTCATTTTTCTTTATTTTCTTTGACTAACCTACTAATCTCCCATCTAGTCTTCTTTGTTTATGCCCAAACGCAGCAATAGGACACTTCCTCTTGTGCCGTTGAATCTCGAGCTTGAAAAAGTGGTAAGGGCAAATCGAAGAGAAAAGAGGGCGATAGCTAGTGGTGCTACATCAAGTGAGCTACGAGTGGTAGTGGAGTCCGATCACTCTAGTTCTAGTGAGTCTAGTGGAGACACCATTCCATTAGAATCACCAAGGACAAATTCTCCAACTTCTCCACCTATCCGCCAATTCGACATGGCCCAACCGAATAAAACTTTGAGAGAGTTTGGTGTCCCTCCACCATACCAAGAAGCGAGTGGGATTGTTACTCCCACCACCGAGGCAAACACTTTTGAGATAAGGCCTGCCCTTATCACCTTGATCGAGGGCCATCAATTTTCCGGGGCCAAGCATGAGGATCCCATTGCACATCTTAAGCAATTTACGCGGTATTGCAGCACCCTGAAGGCTAATGGGGTAACTCCGGAGTACATCCTTCTAAGTATGTTTAAATTTTCTCTCACGGGGAGTGCAAGTGATTGGCTTGATAGGTTGACTCCGAACTCATTGACAACTTGGAATGGGGTAACTTCGGCATTTCTTGGGAAGTTCATACCTCTTGGAAGAACGGCAGAGTTGAGATCCAAAATATCAAATTTCCAACGAGAACCCGATGAGTCTCTTTATGATGCTTGGGAGAGATACAAGAGCTACCAAAAACAATGCCCACATCATGGCATGGAAGATTGGCTCTTATTACATGTGTTCTATAGGGGTCTCTTGAGGGCGGATCGCATACTATTGGATGGAGCATCGGGTGGTCCTCTCATGAACAAGCCACCATTGGAAGCACTCAAAATCATCGAAGAGGTGGTGCAAAATTACACCGATTGGAGTCATGATGAAAGGAACTCCACAAAAAAAGGAGGAAGGTATGAGGTTAGTGCTATTAATATGTTTAGCTCAAAATTAGATGCCTTGTCCTCTAAATTTGATCAAATACAATCTTCTCCCCCTCCCATTTCCCCTCTCCAAAACTCACATGCATCTAACTTTTCAAATGATAATGTGTCTATGCAATTGGTGTCTTGTGAAGTATGTGGTGGTGAATACCATATGTCTTCGGAGTGTCCCTTGTTGAATGAGTAATGTTCCCCTTCTATGGAACAAGTTAATAATGTGAATGCTAATCCTAGGTTTGACCCCTACTCCAACACCTATAATGAGGGATGGAAACATCACCCCAATTTTGGTTGGAGAAGTGGCCAAACCCAAGGGCAAGCTAGAGGTCAAGGTCAAGCTAGTAGTGGTGGTAACTATGTCTCTAATAATCAACGGAATTATAGAAATGACAATAGGTACCAACAAAAAGGTCAATACTCTTCCACTCACAACCCACCCGGTTTCAATGGAGGTGTAAGACCAAATCTAGCTCCTATTCCTAAACCACCACTTCAAATTCAAGCTCCCCCTCCTCCTAAGTCTAATCTAGAAAGCATGTTGGAGCAATTCATGAACTCCCAAACTAAAAAGACAAATGACTTAGAGGAAAGCTTAAAGAAAATGCAAACCCACAATAAAATGTTGGAAAATCAAATGGCCCAAATAGCTAGTGCCCTTAAAGGCAAGTCTAGTACCCCATTGCCATAATCTTTTTCGACGCAGGATTTGTAAGCAAGGCTGTCTAGATGAAAAATTGGTAAAAGGGGAAGACTGTAATTTGTGATAGGTTAGGTGGTGGATTTTCTGAAGGTTTCAGAGCTGGTACGCTTGGGGTTTTGTCACGGCTTTTTGCAGATTATTCTGATATTAAGCCTTTACCTGCAACTGAGCTAAAACCCCGTGATTTCGAAGCACTATTATCCTATGTTAATTCCACAAAGTATGACCCTTCATTGTATCATTCATTCATATATAATTATGCAAGTGTAGTGTCATACTGTATAATGTTATGCATATATATGTTATTGCATACATAATTTTAAATTTGTATTCCAAGTTACTAATATAGGATACCATACTTTTGATACTTACATCAAAATTATTCTTTCTCTGCAGACATCCTAAGGCAAATATCCACAAGAGTGAATCCTTTTATGACAATTCTGCTCCTGTTGTTGTCGAATTCTCTTCTCGAGGACCTAATGTTATTGCACCGGATATCCTTAAGGTACAATTGAATTGAAGCATAAGTTTGTATTCCATTTTTTCCTTCCTATTCTTCTAAGAGTTTTGCGCCCTCTAACCTGCTGCAGCCTGATATCACGGCACCAGGAGTCGAAATTCTAGCCGCATATTCACCATTGGGTTCTGTAAGTGATTACAACGGAGATAAGAGATCAGTTAATTATTCAACTTTATCTGGTACATCCATGTCTTGTCCTCATGTCGCGGGTGCATCTGTTTATGTAAAATCGCTTCACCCAGATTGGTCTCCTTCAGCAATTAAATCTGCTATGATGACAACAGGTAATTACATTTTCAAGCTAGTTATGTACAATTTTCTTCTTAGTCATTTTTTACTTGTAAGAAATTTAAACAGATTCACTAATATATATATATATATTATATATATATATATATATAGGGGAGGGATCCGGTAAGAACCCCTCCTTATATAAGAACCCTAGTTATATAAGAACCAATCTCAACCGTAGGATTAAGTAATTTTGGACGGTTAATATTAAAACAAGTATCCTTCCTCAAACACCTAACCCACCGTCCAAAATTTTCTCTCTCCTCAAACTTTCAAACCTATTGTCTTTCTCTCTCCTCAAATCCCAAATTCGAACACAAATTCCTGCAATTTTTTGTTCAAATTTTACATAAACAACCTAAATTGCTCAAATTAGGTACGTTCTTTTTTCGATTTTGTTCAAATTTTCAAGAAAAACGCATGATATTCAAGTAGATTTTTCGATTTTGTTTTTGCGATTTTATTTTTTGCGATTTTTATGATTTGATTTTTGCGATGTGATTTATGCGATTTTAAGGTTTGATTCATGAATTCCGCATGAGACAAGTCGATTTTGCATTTTTCTGATTTGATTTTCATTTATTTTCGGCAATTTAGGGTTCAAAATTCGGCGATTTAAGAGTTCAAACTACAGTGATTTTAAGGCTGGAAATATTAGGTAATTTCAGTGTTACTCTTGATTAGTATTGTTTGATTTTTTTTCGTCATTTTACCATTTTTTGTGCGATTTGTTTGTGGTTTTGTTGGGCGATTTTTGAGCCATTTTTTAAATTGTTGTTGGTTCTTTGTTGGTGATGAAATCATGTGCTCTTAACTTCAGTCAGTAAGCTAGTTGACATCTAGGAGTTAGGATGATGGATGGTGGAAATTATGATTTTTGGTAATGTTATGATGGGATTTTTGATTGGTAAAAGTGAGCAACTGAGCACATTGGTTGATGATTATTACTGGGTTTTTTTTAACGCAATTGAGTAAATTGTGATGATTAGCTGAATAGGTATAGAAAGTGGGCTGATGAGTTACAAAAAAAATTGTAAGGAGGGTCTGGGGTTATTTTGGGGTTTGTACTTGGTTGATATAGGGGCAGGTTTCTTGGATGTTATTTCTCCATTATCGTCCTACATCTTTGGTGTTGAAGCACGTTTTTGTTTAATTCAATGGTTTTGCTGTCTTATGTGTGGTGCTGGTTTGATGGTTTTTAAGTTTTTATTGGTTTCTAGTCAATCAGATTGGGGAAAATAGAAAAAAAAATGTCAAGATGGAGGCTTTGGGATGAAATTTGACTTAATTCTGGCAGTAGAGGAGGGATGTAAGGGTGTTTAGCTTTTGACCTTTCTGTGGTCTTAAGGTCTGTTTTATGAGATGGATTCTTCAGGTTGAATAAATAGGTTGAGTGAATACCTAAATGCAAGTGAGCTTTGCTATTTGAAGGGCACATTTTTGTAATTAAGTGCAGTGTAATAGTTGTACTTTGTAAACTATATGTTAAATTGGTTCAAATGTTCCTAAACGATGAGTCTACTTATATGGTTCCCTAATCGGAGAGGAAAAAGGAAATACATTTGCTGTCCTAGTGCTCATATGATTTCAGCAGTCTGTTTGGGTTTCTCTAATGTTGGAACTACAATAGTACAATGTACGGATTATTAATTATTCTAGGAAAACTCCCATTATACTAGTAATATAGCATTATCTTTCTTACCATATTAGGCATATTCCCTGTATGTTTCAAATCTTGCAAAAAAACATTTGTTTAACACATGCCAAAATATTATCACTTTGTAAATATACTTCCAAGTTTGTAGTTCGTAGTTAAATTAAACTTTATTAGGTAATCTAACACTATTTATATACAAAGACATCCTTGATTATAGTAAAAAAAAAGTTTAGAACATAAGTAGACTAAATTTAAAACATAGGAAAAAAAAAATTTAGAACATAGGTAAAAGAATATTTAGAACATAGGAAAAAAAAACTTTAGAACATAGGTAATAAAAATTTAGAACATAGGAAAGAAAAAAAACTTTAGAACATAAGTAGACTAAATTTAGAATATAGACAAAAGAATTTAGAACATAGGTAAAAGAATATTTAGAACATAGGAAAAAAAAAAAAAACTTTAGAACATAGGTAGAAAAAATTTAGAACATAGGTAGAAAAAACTTTATAACATAGGTGTAGAATATACGAACAACTTTAGAACATAGGAAAAATTTGGAACATAGTAAAAATTTAGAACATAGGAAATTAGAACATTGGGAAAAAAAAATTAGATCATAGGAAAAAAAATTGGAAATTTAGAATATTGGGGAAAAAAATAAGAGCATAGAAAATAAGTTTAGAACATATACTAAAAATTTAGAACATAGGGTGAAAAAATTTAGAACATAAGGTGAAAAAATTTAGAACATAGATAGAAAAAATTTAGAACGCAAGGAAAAAAAATTAGGAAATAGGTAGAAAAACTTTTGAACATAGGATAAAATTTAGAGCACACGGAAAATATTTAGAGCATACGGAAAAAATTTAGAACATAGGAAATAAATTTAGAATATAGACAAAAAAATTTGAATATAGGATATATATTTAGAACATGGACAGAAAACTTTAGAACATAAACAATAAAATGTAGAACATAGGAAAATAGTTTAGAACATACATATATTTAGAGCTTAGATTGAAAAATTTAGAGCTTAAGCAATAAATTTTAGAACATATGCAAATAATATTTAGAACATATGATAAAACCTATTAGCTCAATTGGAAGAGCACTATGCAAATGCATAGAGGATGTAGGTTCAACTCCTACATAGGTTATCTTTATAAATAACTAAAAAACTTCAAATGTTTTTTTTTTGAAACAAAAAAAAAATCCAATAAAACTAATTAAATTAGTACTAAGTTATATGAGCAGAAAATAAGTAGACTAAATTTAGAACATAGGAAAAAAAAAAACTTTAGAACATAAGTAGACTAAATTTAGAACATAGGAAAAAAAAAAAAAAAACTTTAGAACATAATTAGACTAAATTTAGAACATAGATAAAAGAATATTTAGAATATAGGAAAAAAAAAAAACTTTAGAACATAGGTAGTAAAAATTTAGAACATAGGAAAAAAAAAATTTAGAACATAAGTAGACTGAATTTAAAACATAGGCAAAAGGTAAAAGAATATTTAGAACAAGGAAAAAAAAAGTTTAGAACATAGGTAGAAAAAATTTAGAACATAGGAAACAAAACTTTAGAACATAAGTAGACTAAATTTAGAACATAGGAAAAAAAATTTGAACATAAATATACTAAATTTAGAACATAGGAGTAGGCAAAAAAAAATTAGAATATAAAAGAAGAATTACATAAATGGCATTACTAAAGGATCATTTTAGATGGTTAGATCAAAACTAATAAACGGCTGAGATTGGTTCTTATATAAGATTGGGTTCTTATATAGAGGAGGGTTCTTACATGAGTCTTCCTCGGGGAGGGATCCGGTAAGAACCTCTCCTTATATAAGAACCCAATCTTATATAAGAACCCCTCTTTATGTTCTAAACTTTTTTCGGCTTATATTCTAAAGTTTTCCTATGTTCTAATTTTTTTTCTGCTTATGTTCTAATTATTTCATATATTCTAAATTATTTTTTCAGCTTACATTCTAAATTTTTTCATATGTTCTAAATTATTTTTTCAACTTATGTTTTAAATTTTTTCCTATATTCTAAATTATTTTTTCAGATTATGTTCTTAATTTTTTCCTATGTTCTAAATTATTTTTCATATGTTCTAAATTTAGCCTATGTTTTAAATTTTTTTTCCTATATTCTATATTATTTTTTCGGCTTATGTTTTAAATTTTTTCCTATGTTCTAAATTATTTTTTCAACTTATGTTTTAAATTTTTTTCCTATATTCTAAATTATTTTTTTCAGTTTATGTTCTAAATTTTTTCCTATGTTCTAAATTATTTTTCATATGTTTTAAATGTTTGTTTGTTTATGTTCTAAATTTTTTTTTCTATGTTCTAAATAATTTTTTTCAGCATATGTTCTAAATTTTTTCTTATGTTCTAAATTTTTTTTTCAGCTTATGTTCTAAATTTTTTCCTATGTTCTAAATTATTTTTTAGCTTATGTTCTAAATTTTTTCCTATATTCTAAATTATTTTTCATATATTCTAAATGTTTGTTTGTTTAGGTTCTAAATTTTTCATATGTTCTAAATTTTTTTTCCTATATTATACATTTTTTTTTCCTTATGTTCTAAATTTTTTTTTCAGCTTATGTTTTAAATTTTTTTCTATGTTCTAAATTTTTTTTTCAGCTTACGTTCTAAATTTTTTCTTATGTTTTAAAAGTTGGTTTGCTTATGTTCTAAATTTTCCTATAATCTAAATTTTTTTCCTAAATTCTAAAGTTTTTCTTATGTTCTAAATTTTTTCCTATATTTTAAATTATTTTTTCAGCTTATGTTTTAAATTTTTTTTCTATGTTCGAAATTATTTTTTCAATTTATGTTCTAAATTTTTTCCTATGTTCTAAATTATTTTTCATATGTTTGTTTGTTTATGTTCTAAATTTTTCCTATGTAGTAATTTTTTTTTCCTATATTCTATATTATTTTTTCAGCTTATGTTCTAAATTTTTTCCTATGTTTTAAATTATTTTTTCAGCTTATGTTCTAAATTTTTTCCTATGTTCTAGATATTTGTTTTCTTATGCTTTAAATTCTTCTTCTTGTTTTTTTTTTTTGGTTGTTGTAAATAGGTGCGTAGTCCTGGAGTTGATATAAATATCCTATGTGTTGCCCCTAGACATGCTACGCGAGAGGTAAGATATAACTTTTGTCTGCTTCTATACTTTTTCCATTATTTTTTGCTACTTTAGTGCCCCTTAACTTGTTATATTTTACTGGATATAGGAAGATTTCTTCGAAGAACTCCATTAGATGCTTTCTGAGATGCCTGAGGTTACAAAGTTGCACCCTGTGCCTGATGCTTTTGTCCCGGTGATGAGATTTAAGTTCAATGGGGTGTCCATAGATCTTCTTTATGCAAAATTGTCGCATTTGAGTTTCTACATTGCATGTGATTGTTTTCCTCGGCTTCTATGGGAGGGTGTTGATTTATATTAAAAACCTATTAGCTCAAGTGGTAGAGCACTATGCAAATGCATAGTTGATATAGGTTCGAATCCTACATAGGCAATATTTATAAATAACTATATAAGAAAAACTTTAGAAAATAGGTAGTAAAAGTTTAGAACATAAAAAAAAAATAAAAAAAAAAAACTTTAGAACATAAGTAGACTGAATTTAGAACATAGGCAAAAGAATTTTGAACATAGGAAAAGAATATTTTAAACATAGGAAATAAAAACCGTTAGAACATAGGTAGAAAAAATTTAGAATATAGGAAAAAATTAGAACATAGGTTGAAAAAATTTAGAACACAGGAAAAAAAAACTTTAGAACATAAGTAGACTAAATTTAGAACATAGAAAAAAAAAATTTTGAACATAGATAAAAGAATATTTAGAATATAGGTAAAAGAATATTTAGAACGTAAACAAAAAAAAAGAAAAAAAAAAGAAACTTTAGAACATAGGTAGTAAAAATTTAGAACTTAAGAAAAAAAAACTTTAGAACATAAGTAGACTGAATTTAGATCATAGGCAAAAGAATTTAGAACATAGGTAAAAGAATATTTAGAACATAAGAAGAAGAAAAAAAACTTTAGAACATAGGTTGGAAAAATTTAGAACATAGGAAGAAAAAAACAAAAAAAAAAAAAAAAAAAAAAAAAAAAAAAAAAAAAAACTTTAGTATATAAGTAGACTAAATTTGGAACATAGAAAAAAAAAATTAGAAAATAGGTAGACTAGATTTAGAACATAAGAGTAGGCAAAAAAATTTAGAACATAAAAAAAGAATTACAGAAATGCCATTACTAAAGGATGGTTTTAGATGGTTGGATCAAAACTAATAAATGGTTGAGATTGGTTCTTATATAAGATTGAGTTCTTATATAGAGGAGGGTTCTTACATGAGCCTTCCTCTATATATATATATATATATATATATATATATATATATATATATATATATATATATATATATATATATATATATATATAATGTACTTGTACTTGTTATGCTTGCAGCACGTTCTATGAGCCCGACTAAGAACAAAGACGCCGAATTTGCCTATGGATCAGGGCATGTTGATCCTGTAAAGGCTGCGAATCCGGGACTTGTTTATGAAACAAATCAAGATGAATATGTTACATTTTTCTGCAGGTTGGGCTACAACAAACGCCAAATTGCACTGATCACGGGTAGTGATAGTTTCTCTTGCCCGAAAAAGAGTAACAAAAGTTCGTTACCAAACGATGTTAACTATCCTTCCTTGTCTGCCATGGTTGATGTTGGTACCCCATTCAATATCAAATTTAGTAGAACAGTCACTAATGTAGGAGTTGCTAACTCCACCTACACCGTTAAAGTCGAATCACCTAAGAAAATTAAGATCACGGTGAATCCTAGTACTCTTTCATTTACATCATTGAATGAAAAGAAGTCGTTCGAGGTGACTGTTGTTGGCAAAGGATTATCAAGAAAATCAAACTCCACTATTTCAGCATCATTGGTTTGGTATGATGGACAACATAGTGTTAGGAGCCCTATTGTTGTATACTCTATTTATAAGGATTTGTAGTGGTTCTACCTTCGTCGTTGCTTTGTGTTTATTCTTAACCCATACAAATGATAATACAAGTCGAATTAAATTAGAAAACTTTTTTTTTTTTTTTTGGCTCAAGTTAATTTTTGCATCAATAACGAGTTATAGAAATAAAAGTACTATATCCGTTATAGATTATGTGCAACGATTAAACATCTTCCCTCTTTGCTTTATGTCAAATCGTTGCACATAACCTATAACGGAGGCAGTAGAAATAAATTAATAACGAGTTATAGCCTTATAGGCTAACTTACAATGATGATCAAATAACAGCAGCAACAAGAAGAGTAAAACAATCAGCAAATGTGTAATGTCTTCCAAAGTTCAATTATTCTTCTCCTTCATCTTCCCTTTCCCCCTTCAATTCCTCTGCTACTAGAGAGAAAAACCCAAAAAAATAATTCAATTAGAGAGAGTAATTCAACCCTACATTTTAATTAATCTAATGATTTTCTAAGAAAGTTAGCTACTTCCTTTACCTTTATTAGCTTTCCGTGACTCCTCGATCGCCCTCTAAACGATCAAAATAAGGTAAAGCTTGAAGATAAGTTTTGCACTCTATTAATTTCTCAGTCCCTCTAGTCGGGTGGGCGCCGGCCGATCTTTCGACCAGATCCCCTCTTTTAGTAAGCAGCTTGCGGCAGTGGTTTTCTCTTTGATTTCCGTTCACCTTTTCTTTACTAAACTACCACTTTCTGCTTGCTTTCCGTAGGAGCATAATCATTTGTAGATTCAAATATGTATCTTTAGTTATGCAATATCTCATTTTTCACTCCCTAAATAGGGTTCTTTTCACCTTTCCCTCACGGTCATTGAGGAATACTTAGGCTTAGAGGGTGGTCCCCCTTTCTCGCGTAAAAGCGGTGATCCGTCCTCGCAAAGGCAGAATAGCGGACTGGCAGAACTTGAGCAATTTACATAAAAAATAAAGCCCATATCCCTATCTTTTTCTGGGAAAACCTAGAATTTTGTTTTTCAAAGTGTTTTATTTGGTGGGTATTTTGTGAAACTTTTCAAAACGGGTTATTGAGAGAAAGATCACTGGAACCGGTTGTATTGGACGATATAATCAACAGGCTATTGAATTCGCAGCAACCTAACCTTTTGGAGCTTGAAGCCACTCTCAAGATTTACGGTAATCTAATTTCTTTTTTTACAGTTGATTTTTTACCCCTTTTTTCTGCTTTCATTATTTGTAAAAATGAGTATTATTTTTGGTGGGTAATTTGAATTTTGTGTGTTTTTATTGCGTTTTTTGAATAGTCTATTGAATGATACGGAGTAGTGTTTTTGGATGGATTTTCATGGTGGGGTGGGGGATGTGGGATAATTGAATAAAAAGTTGTGAGTTTTGATGATTTTGTTTGTTTTGAGGGTTGTTCGATTGGTTTTGAGCTGACTATAATTGGATTATATGTGGCTTATTAATTTATGATTGATGAAATTTGTTGGAGTTCATGTTATTATATGATGACGATTATCGAATTTAACTTATACATTGCATGGATTATATAAGATCAGTAGAACTCCAAGCCACAAATTTTGGATCAACTCAATTGGAGCACAACATTTTTACATAATTGTAATGCAGGAAAAAGAATTGGAGCTAGCAATACATAATCCATGTTCAATTTCTTGATTAGAAACTTTTTGTTTTGATCTTCAAATATTCCCATATATTGCATTTACTTCATCCTATACAATGAACAGAACCTGCTCAAACTTGATAATAAAATCAAGAATATGAACAAAGAATCAAATAATTATGGAACAAATCAAGTCATAATATTTGCAGCTGAATATCTGGTGCAAAAAAAAGCAAACAATCAAATCCTTAATTTATTTCCTTTCTTGCATCACTGGATTTAACAATTATTTATAAGTATGAAAATCATGATTACCAAATTGCAATCATTCACAATTCTCAATGGCCAAATTCATGGATTCTCCACTTCTCGTATTCGTCCTTGTACTTAGCCTGTTTGTCTTGGGTACATCATCTCTAATTGCTAATGGTGATCGGAAGGCAAGTTATGGCTCTGTATATTCTATTAAACTATCTAACTATGTCATATTAAATATATCATGCTATTGTACACTAAGGTTATTATTTTTTTTTTTTTTTTTTATAAAAAGCTGAGTTTTTTTTGGTGTAGGTTTATATTATATACATGGGGTCTACTTCAGAGGAATACTCTGTTACATCTGAGTACCACCTTGGTATCCTCCAACAAGTTTTAGAGGACAAGTGAGTGTCTATTAGCCCTTAGCATTACATATTTGCACCATTTGGTCCAAGTTGCCCCCAAAATGGACACATTATTATGTCCCGGCCACGCGTAATTCAGTGTACTAGTATAATATGTACATTAGCTATTTTTTAGTGACAAACTTAATTTTTTATTTTTTATTTATTTTGACTTTGATTATGTTCCAAAGTATGGCAAAAGATTTATTGGTTAGAATTTACCGGAAGAGTTTCAATGGTTTTGCAGCAAGGCTAACTGAGAAAGAAAGTGAAAAACTCAGGGGTGAGTATTCAGGACTTCAACATTATGATTGACACGGAATAAATTAGATAGGATCTGTAACGGTAATAAATTGTTTTTTTTTTACAGGAACGAAGGAAGTGATATCTGTGTTTCCTAGTAGAACACTTGAACTTCAAACGACGAGGTCTTGGGATTTCTTGGGATTCCCTGAGACAGTGGTGCCTAAAAGTCCACGTTCTGAGAGTAATCTGATACTTGGTGTCATTGACTCCGGGATATGGTCTGAATCACCGAGTTTTAATGATGATGGCTTTGGCCCTCCACCGAAGAAATGGAAAGGTGTTTGTAAGGGCGGAAAAAATTTCACTTGTAACAAGTAAATAATCTTATCTATCATTTTCCTCTCTCAATTTCCAGTCTTTGTTTGCATGCAATTGTTATGTAAATATGCTGACATCTATGTGGCTATCTTTTTTTAATTTGATTATGGCCTTAATTAAAATATGATTTTCACTGATTGGGACTGCATTATATCAATCAAAACATTTTATCAGAATTATCACCAAAAACTAATTTTTCAAGTTGAGAGATTATTAGGGCCTCTCTATGCTAACTTGCTATGTTTTGCTTTTGTGATTTCCTTGGGTTTCTACTAGTCTTAATTATTCTATGGAATGCACTAATCCTGTTTAGATATTACATTATTTATTCTACTAGTCTTAAATCTTAATTAGTCTATAATAAGCACTTGACTTTGCTCAAGAATCGATATGCTTTGGAATATTCGTTCTTGCAAACCTATCTATGATGATTGATGAGCCTCTTTCATATTATAAAAAAAATCCAATCTTGCAGCAAGCTTATTGGAGCTAGGACTATTTTTGATTCTGCGAGGGATAAAGTTGGTCATGGAACCCATACTGCCTCAACAGCAGCTGGTAGGATCGTGGATCATGCAAGTTTTTATGGACTGGCAGAAGGGGCTGCTAGAGGAGCAGTACCATCTGCTAGGATAGCTGCATACAAAGTTTGTGAGGACTTGACATGTTCGGAAGCAGATATTCTTACTGCTTTTGATGAAGCCATTGCTGATGGGGTTGACGTAATTACAATTTCCATTGGAGGATCACATGCAACTGATATATATTCAGACAGTATTGCAATAGGTGCTTTTCACGCGATGCAGAAGGAAATACTGACAGTGCAGTCTGCTGGGAATGGGGGAAATGCGAGTGGTACTGTAGCTAGTGTTGCACCCTGGTTATTCAGTGTCGCAGCAAGTGATATGGATCGCCGAATCCGTGATAAAGTTGTCCTTGGAAATGGAAAAACTTTAATTGTAAGGTTTTTTTTTTCTTCTTCTATCATAGCAGATAAAATTTGAAGCTTTTACCAACTTAAATTTCTAACAAACACATGTAATAATACTTTTGGAATGGCTGAAATGTAGGGTAATTCTATCAACTCCTTTACACTGAAGGGAGACATGTTCCCTTTGGTATATGGGAAACAGGCGTCAAGTTCGTGTGAGGAGCTTGTGGCTGAGTAATTTTCTTTCTTCGATTACTACTTTTGAAGTTCTGCACATCAGTAGAAGGACTATAATTTGTCTTAAATTATCATTACTCTTCTTTTGTGCAGGATATGTACATCGACCTGCCTAGATGAAAAGTTAGTGAAGGGGAAGATAGTAGTTTGTGACAGTACAGATGGATCAGGAATTGGTGAAGGTTTGAGAGCTGGTGCCCTTGGGGTAGTGGCACGATCGTTTGTTGAAGATTACTCTCGGATTTTACCTATGGCTGCAGTCGAGTTAAAAACCTCTGATTTTGAAGCACTAATATCCTATCTTAATTCCACAAAGTATGATATAAAAATTCTTTATCAGGTAGTACCGTAGTATACATTAATATAGTCAAGATTGCACTCACTAACATAGATTTTTGGCAGAGCTCCAAAGGCAAACATCCTAAAGAGTGAATCCTTGAATGACACTTCTGCTCCTGTTGTTGCTTCATTTTCTTCTCGAGGGCCTAATGGTATTGCATCGGATATTCTCAAGGTTATCATCATTTGTTCTTCTTCCACTTTTTCCTACAAGTCTTTTTTTTTTTTTTTTTTTTTTTTTTTTTTTGGGGTGTCTTTAATATGTTAGTCACACTATGCTGCAGCCTGATATCACGGCACCAGGTGTAGAAGTTCTGGCTGCGTTTTCACCTGATGCTGAATTAACTCGTAATTATAATGATTCAAGATCAGTTAATTATTCTGTATTATCTGGAACATCCATGTCTTGTCCTCATGTAGCGGGTGCAGCTGTGTATGTGAAATCAATTCATCCTGATTGGTCTCCTTCAGCTGTTAAATCTGCTTTGATGACTACAGGTATCTATAAGCATATCAAGGCTTTGTTACGCCATGAGTCTTCTCTTCTTCTCTGTATCATATATCTACTAGACATAATCTTCTTGTTTCATTTGCAGCGCGTCCTATGAGTACTCTGAAGAACCCAGATGCTGAATTTGCTTATGGATCAGGGCATCTTAATCCTGTGGCAGCTACAAACCCCGGACTTGTTTATGAAGCAACTGAAGATGATTATATTCAATTTCTGTGCAAGTTAGGTTACACCAAAGATGACATAACTCAAATATCGGGCAAGAAGAGTTTCTCCTGCCCGAAAAAGATTTTGCCACCAAAGGATGTTAACTATCCTACCATTTCTGCCGCGGTTGATGCTGATAAACCTTTAAATGTCAAGTTCTATAGAACAGTTACTAATGTTGGAGTTGCAAATTCCACCTACACAGCAAAAGTTGAATCAGCAAAGAATATAAAGGTTACAGTGAATCCGAGCTCTCTTTCATTCACATCATTGAATGAAAAGAAGTCCTTCAATGTGACTGTGGTTGGTGAGGGATTATCTAGTGGCTCTCATATTTCTGCATCACTGGTTTGGTCTGATGGAAATCATATTGTTAGGAGTCCTGTTGTATTATACAGTATATAGTCATTCTTCGTATCTCCAACATTGACCTATAGAACGACTCAATGATATATCGAGAATATAGAACATGTACTGCCTATGATTGTAAAAGTGTTTGTCCCATTTTAATAAGAGCTGAGCAGATTATATCCCATTCTTGCATTTAGACTGAACTTTTTTTTTAACATATACGAATATATGATTATATTAATGGTCAAATTTACGCGCGAGTAATTATTGCAACCAAATAGTTGCACTTTAACATCCCCTGGCTTTCTCATGTGAAACGAGTATGTAGTATGGTAGTTCAACCTAGTGGCTAGGTGGGGGATAGCGGGAGTAACTCAGAATGTGTATCGGTAATTTTCCCCAAAGCACTTTTGGCTCGGGTGGTTCTTGCATTGACTACTTGAATTAATCAAATTTAGTACTTACCTTGTTCCCGAAAAAAAAAAAGGACAGGCTTATGTATTGATCGAATGACCGGTGAAAAGAACTTTCATGAATTGAGGTAGTATTTATGTAATTTAAGATTTTCAAATATGACTCTTTAAGTCATTTGCTGCACGTCCTATGAGTACTCTTGTACGGCTATATGTATCATTTCTTGATTATTAAAAAAAAAAAATTATGTGGCTATCAGAAATTTAGAATATTATAGGTTGCCATTTAGCTTATATTATTGAAATTGTACAATTACTTTCGCATGTAGTCCTAATTAAGCCTCTCAATTCATTTATACTTCGTATATGTCAATTAGTCACCAAATAATAAACAATATTGTATAAATAAGCAACAAATCATTATATTTATTTGGAAGTAATCAAATCAGATATTTAGACCATACAATGTACTTTTTCCATTGACTATTAGGAACAACCAAATCAAAGACGATTTATTTCCATAATTTGTTGCTTTTAATGCATTATCATATCTAAAAACTTAATTGATTTTTTCTTTTAACATCTATAAAAATGAGGATAAGTCATATCATCAAAATTAACAATTCACACATAAGAAAATGGTCAAATTCATGTTTTCTCAAATTCACTTGCTCACCCTTGTACTTGGCCTTTTTGCTGCGGGGACATTGTCTCTTAATGCTAATGATGATCGAAAGGCAAGTTACTACATTGTTGTCTTTGTTGTTGTTGTTGTTACGTTGTTGTCTTTGTTCTTGTTATTGTTATTGTTATTGTTGTTGTTGATTATGATTTCATCGATTTAATATTATTGTGCAGGTTTATATTGTATACATGGGTTCGATTTCGGAGGAATACGCTGTTACGTCCGAGTATCACATTAATATTCTTCAGCAAGTTTTAGAGGGCAGGTTAGTAGCTATAATTATGTAACATATTTTGTTTAAGAGCTTTTTTTTTTTTTTTTTTTTTTTTGGTGTTCTACCCGGTTCACACTCTTGGGCTAATCTGGATTCGGGGATCAGTTCTGGGTGGTTAGGTTCCAGTCCCCTACCAAGTGTAGTCCCAAGCTTATCATAGACATAAATTAATTATCTTTTGCGATTTGTATGTATTTCTTATTTTAAAAATTGATTCTTTTGTTTGTAATTTTCTAATCGTTCATTTCTCATAAAAGTATGATTTTTTCTTATGCCATATAAATATATATATATATATTGTAATATACTTGTTTACATAATAATATGCCTTTTCCTTTTTATTTCGAACTCTACATTTGAAAGTACGGCAGAAGAGTCCTTGGTAAGAAGTTACAAGAGGAGTTTCAATGGTTTCGCAGCAAGGCTAACAGAGAAAGAGAGTAAAAATCTCAATAGTAAGAAATAATGTCATCAAAATTACAATTAATTTTGACTTTTTTTAATTATTATTAATAATCCATATATTGTTTGTAATTTTGTAATTAATTTAAATTGATTGTGTATTTTTTTGGTAGGTATGAAGGAAGTGGTGTCTGTATTTCCTAGTAAAACACTCAACCTTCAAACAACGAGGTCATGGGATTTCTTAGGATTAATTGAGAGTGATGTGGTTCCGAGAAATTTGACTAGCGAGAGTAACGTGATACTCGGTTCCTTTGACACCGGAATCTGGCCTGAATCACCGAGTTTTAGCGATGATGGTATCGGACCTCCCCCTAAGAAATGGAAAGGCGCTTGTAAGGGCGGAAAAGATTTCACTTGCAACAAGTACGTATATATCCTTGTTTTAATTTTACATACATCTACTAGTATACATATTGTCAAGATATAGTTTAATTGACATATTGTTTATACAAAAATATATTTACTAGACTTAGTTTAATTATCACACGTTTTTTAATGTAAGAATGTTAATTAGAAAACTTGTACAATTACTAGTAAAAAAATATTTGTGTTCACTATAATCATATAATGAGTTCAATTCCATCTTGCAGTAAAGTAATTGGAGCTAGTACTACAACCTTTGATTCGGCGAGGGATGAAATTGGTCACGGAAGCCACACTGCTTCGACAGCAGCCGGGAGACACGTAGATCATACAAATTTTTATGGTTTGGCAGAAGGAATTGCAAGAGGAGCAGTACCTTCAGCTAGGCTCGCCGTATACAAAGTTTGTGGACGCGATGGTTGTCAGGACTCAGATGTTCTTACTGCATTTGATGAAGCAATTGCTGATGGTGTAGACTTGATTACATTATCGTTAGGATCATCCAATCCAACTGAATTAGATTTAGATAGTATCGCGATAGGTTCTTACCACGCGATACAGAAAGGTATACTAACTGTGCACTCTGCTGGAAATAGTGGTAACAGAAGTTTTAGTGTATCAAGTGTTGCACCTTGGTTATTCAGTGTTGCAGCAAGCACTATTGATCGGCGAATACTTGATAAAGTTGTCCTTGGAAATGGAAAGACACTACTTGTAAGTATTCTGATCATAAAAGTAATTTTTTCCCGTTATCATTCATATATAAACGTGTGATACTTACATGTACGTCTGAAAATACAGGGTTATTCTGTTAATTCTTTCCAGTCGAAGAGAGGGTTGCTTCCTTTAGTGTATGGCGTAGGTCCAAAAGAGTGTGTAAAGGAATCCATACAGTAATCTTCAATTCCTTGCTTGGTTTCTTCGACTTTATTTGAACATATATTGTACTGTATCGTATTGTATAATCAATTTCGACGATGCAGGTATTGTGGGCAAGGTTGTTTAGATGAGTCAGTAAAAGGAAAGATCGTAGTTTGTGATATTTCAGATGGAAGTGGAATCATTGAAGCTTACAAAGTTGGTGCGCTTGGGGTACTGTCACGCATAAACATTGATTTTTCTCAGATTTATCCTTTGCCTGCAATTGAGTTCGAAAGCAATGAATTTCAAGCACTAAAATCCTACCTTAATTCCACAAAGTATGATACTCTGATCCATTCAATTTATTCATGTATAAATGTCATATACACTCCATGTTATGCATATATATTAAGTAATATACATTTTTATGTCAAATTATTCTTTTTTTTTTTTTTTTTTTTTGTAGAAATCCAAAGGCAAACATCCTCAAGAGTTTCTCCTTTAATGACACTTCTTCTCCTTATGTCATCGGGTTCTCTTCTCGAGGACCTAATCTTGCTGCATCGGATATCCTTAAGGTAAACTTAATTGAAGCACAACTCTGCTTTTATTCCCTGCTTTTTCTCCCCTGTAATTTTTCTAAGAGTTTTGTGCCTACTATTTTGTTGCAGCCTGATATAACAGCGCCAGGAGTCGAAATTATAGCTGCATTTTCACCTTTGGCTTCTCTAACTGGAATTCCTGGAGATAAGAGATCAGTAAATTATACGATTTTTTCTGGTACATCTATGTCTTGTCCTCATGTCGCGGGTGCATCTGTTTATATAAAATCTCTCCATCCAGATTGGTCTCCTTCCGCGATTAAATCTGCTTTGATGACTACAGGTAATAACAATTCTCAGTAGCATACAAATTTTTTTCTTACTCATTTTCACTTTTAAAAAATTAATTCAAACATATTCACTAATATAATGTTCTTCATATACTTGCAGCACAACCTATTAGCCCATCTAAGAACAAAGACGCCGAATTTGCCTATGGATCAGGGCATCTTGATCCTGTAAAAGCTGCAAATCCCGGACTTGTTTATGTAACAGAACAAGATGAATATCTTACATTTTTCTGTAAGTTGGGTTATGATAAAGACCAAATTGCACTGATCACAGGTAACAGGAAATTCTCTTGCCCGAAAGAGAGTAACGAAACTTCGTCATTAGCAAAGGATGTTAACTATCCTTCCTTGTCTGTCATGGTTGAAATTGATATACCAATCAATATCAAGTTTAGTAGAACAGTCACCAATGTAGGAGTTGCTAATTCCACCTACACCGTGAAAGTCGAATCGCCTAAGGAAATAAAGGTCACAGTGAATCCAACTTCTCTTTCGTTTAAATCATTGAATGAAAAGAAGACGTATGAAGTGAGTGTTGTTGGCAAAGCATTAACGGAAAACTCCTCCATTATATCAGCATCATTGGTTTGGTCTGATGGACAACATAATGTTAGGAGTCCTCTTGTTGTATACTCTGATTTTTACCATGGAGTTGACTAATTAGTGTACTATATAGTGTATATATATTTCCAATAAAAAGGATAATGTAGGTTGAATATAATTAATACTAATACTTACCTTTCTCTTTACTCTCCCTAATTTAACAACAATTTATTTGCTCGACTAGGGCACATGTTCCAAATGTCAATGCACAAGTTTGATTTAATCATCAATATCATCCTAACCCGTTTTAACCCGTGCGTGAAATCCCGAATTAAACCCGACCTATTGTTTACCCGACCCTAATGTAACCCGACCTATACCTGATAAGAAGTATGTATAATTATGTATATTACATATATATATTATACAAGTACATAATTGGAGTCAATTCTACATAAACTCATCCATTAATAATAAAAGAGTATCCAATAATCATAGCAAAATCCATGATTAGGTTTACCATCACATATATATATATACACATTTTACATACAAATATTATTCATATATGAACATACTCAATTTATTGTTATTAAATAAATAAATTTAATCATAATACACCCTAGATCGAAGCTAGAAGGCTAAGAATTCTCGAAAACACTAGATAATTACATAATTAAGCTACAAGTAGAAAACTAAATGAATGAAAATTACATAAAGAATTTATTTTCTACTATCACTTGCATATCAAAATTTAATGAGATGAATTAGTTAAACAATTCTAGATCTTCGGAACCCTCTTGACTTGGCCCAAAAATCATGTACCCGAGTGCATGGCCCACAATTACTACAATAAAAACACCAACATTGAAAGACATAACAGCTAACATTAAAAGGTATGCGAGTCCCATACGTAGGGCATGTACTAGGGTACGTAAGAGCTGGTCCGACGTAACATCCTTGTCGCCCGGTTTCGCAAGGGTGGTTCCGGCTAGCCACTCGACGAGGATGGCTAGGACGAATATGATAACCAAAGCTAATACGTACATTCCGGTATGGGTTCCAGGCCAACCCGAAAACAAGATCTCCCCATCTTTACCCCAATAGAAGGTCATGTGCTTCATCATGTTGTTATGATCATGCATTTTATTATGTTCATGCATCCCATTGTGTTCATGCATGTTCTTGTTGTTATATATGAATATGGCCTTTCAATACTTGGATGGTTGTTTTATGATGATGATGACAACGACGATAATGATGGAGGTATGTCGTAGACTTAATCATCTACTCCGTCATACCAATTGCCATGGGCCGGCGTCAAAATTTTACCAACTATACTTCAATAATCTATTGATGTTTTCGATCATTAAATCGATGTTGATATAGGTTAATTTGTATATATATTATATGATGATCCATCGCACTTTTAGTTAAATTGGTAAATCTGAATATAGGAGCTCTAAATTTAATTAGATTTACTTAAAAAGGGGAGGAGAGGTACGATTGTGATACAAAACCTCTTGACCAGGCCATTTGGTAATACTTCTATGTTCTAATATATGTTTGTCTAATTCAAAAGTACTTGGTAAGGTCGTAAATATATACATATATCAATGCAAGTGGTTTAAATACAAAGCTCAAGAAACTAATGACAAAGTACGTTTAATTTGACCTCAAAAGTAATATTAGCAATAATGATTTAAATTCAGAAGCTAGATGTGTATCAATAGTACCTAAATATTACCAAAATTATTATACATCTGGGTATATAGTGCACCTAGGTTTTTTTTTTCTTATTACGATGATTAAAGAATGGTTATTGCTCAGCTCGATCATTTAATCATTAAATGATGAGCAAAATATAACCTTGGGTACATTTTGCACCCGGGTGGATATAAATTTTTTCAAATATATTACATGCTTACAGAAAACCAACCACACAAAATAAGAAACATAGTATTTATTAACACACATTACTACATTAGCGATAATAATTTAAATTCGATCAACTAATGATTCATGCTTTAAGTGAGCTAGAAAAACCAAGGGTTCTTAATTTTGTTTGATCACAAATCAAAATGATCAATGAGGGAAACCCGAATCCTCGGAACCCTTATTACTATTTCTTGACCCAAAAACCATATACCCAAGTGCATGACCAACAATGACAACTATGAAAACACCAACATTAAAAGACATAACAGCCAACATAAGGAGGTAGGCGAGTCCCATACGTAGGGCATGCACTAGGGTTCGTAGGATGCATGAACCAAACCCTTCACCACTTGGTTTCACAAGGCGGGAGCAAGCAAGCCACTCGACAAGGAGGGAAAGGAGGAAGACTAAAACCAAGGCGAGGATGTACAAGCCGGTGCTAGTCCCAGGCCACCCTGAGAAGAGGATTTGGCCATTCTTACCCCAATAGAAGGTCATGTGCATCATCATCGTGTTATGGTCACCCATGTTCATGTTGTTATGCCCCATTGACGGTGAAGATGATGATGGCGGTGGTGGGCTCATCATCATTCCATGATCATGATCCATAATAATCTATTTAGATTAATCAATAATGTAACTAAGACTAAATAAAAGTTTAGCTTAGTTTAGCTTAAGAAGGTGTTTTTTTTTTTTTTCTATAGGTAAGGTAGATATATGAAGAATGGTACGTCCACGAAGTCAATTAGTAGTACTACTTATACACAAATATTGATAGTACACAATTTGAATTTCTTCTAGGGTAACGAATTGTACTACACAATTAATCAATTATCGAATTTTTTAATACTTTTATAGCAAATTTGGTTGTAATAACTGAAATCTAATTCTACATCTAATATATTATCAAAAATTAGTTATTAAACAAAAATACTTTGAAGTAGCTAACTTATTTAATTATTGCTTAATAAAGTCAATCCAAAAAAAGGCACTTTTCATGCCTGAATTATAAGATAAATTATGTTAAGAAATTAAAATAGATCAAAGTGGACTTTGAGTTTGATAATATATATTTGTCTTCGATTATATTACTCCAAATTCTACTATCTTATAGATTTTGATCAATAGTAAGATTATGGGGTGCAATTTAGAAATAAAATAAAAGATTGATTAGTTAATCAGTATTATAAATTTGCCAAAAAGTTTCAGAAGGTGGGCGTGCCGGAGTGGTTATCGGGCATGACTAGAAATCATGTGGGCTTTGCCCGCGCAGGTTCGAATCCTGCCGCTCACGATTCTTTTTTAAGCCTTTTATGAGTTTGTTAGGCTTCACGCCTTCACTTGATTCTAGATTTGGGCCTTAGTCAAGCCCAATGTTAAATTGTGACTCGAAATCTAGTAGGGCTGACTTTGAACGATTATATCTCTTAAACTACAACTGATTTTGAGGTGATTCAAGTTGGAGGTGATAGCTTGGTTCAAGAGCTTTCCAACGACAGGTCATATGCCCAATTCCGATAAGAAATGAGAAAATTATGACCGTTTTACAAAAACCTGACGAAGTTGGAAATTTGCAACGAGGCTGCGAGTTATAGCTCTATGCGAGTGAGCTATAGCTCGGCCCTATGAGGACTTGCGGCAGGTATGAGCTAGCTTCTGAGCTATAGCTTGGTAGTTAGGTTATTCTAGGATAATTTATGGAATATTTCCTAAAATTATATCTTTTCTATGACGGCTATTTGAGTATACTTGGGGAACAATCTTAGGGTTTTATTAGGGTTTCCTTGTGTTATAAAAGGACCCTTTAGTTGATCAATTAGATCATACCTTATTGAGCCATTAGATTTAGGACTCCTTGTATTATTCTCTTGTTTCTTTCTCCATTATAGGAAGAAGCTCTCGAATCCCCCACCCGTGGATGTAGGTCTATTTTGACCGAACCACGTAAATCCTTGTGTTGTTTGTTTATCTTCTTTATTGCTTTTCTCATTCTTATTTTCATTGACTTGTTCCGCATTAATCAAAACACAATTACACCCTTATTTCCTAACACCCAAAATAAATTGGATCAGGCCCAACAACAAATGTTAGGACCTTCAAGCTATTGAGTCAATACTAACAATTAGAATTATAATTTTTTATTTTTATTTTTTTTTTGGGTGTAAATAGGTAGCAATAAACGAGATTTGATCCTAAGTTAAGTATGAGTATCTCCTTTAAGACCAATTTGTCCGTGTTTCTTACCATGTAATGCTATTTAATTTTTTCAAGGTAATCTAAATCTAAAGAAGAAAAATATATGGTCAATCAATATTGAAAACAAAATGTGGCATATGCTAATATGCATATCCCTAGATCAAAGGATTATGAGAATCAAATCAATTTCTTCAACCATATCAATTTCTTCTGACCTTTTCTATTCTGATTCTTTTCCTTTTCTCATGTGGGCTAACTATATTTGATCTTGACCATATAAGTTTTAGAAAAGGAAAATTAATGGAAGAATAGTGATTAACACAATGACACTCGATAAGAGTATGTTACGATAATTATAGCAATATAAATACTTTACTATTAGTCAATTTTATCGGCATAATCTTAAAAAATTTACTTTTAATGAAGCCATTGGTCAACAGTAAATTTTCTGCTTCCTTTTATAATAAAATTTCGTAAATCTAAACACGTTTTATTTGGATATGAATGGATTAGTTATAAAATGAATCTAAATTGACTCAATTGGTCATCTCACCATGAAAAAAAAAAATAGAGAGATACCTTGCTTCCAAAGTAGTATGAAGAATGGACCTACAAACAAATGATTAAATTTGAAAGATACCATCCAATTCAAGATAAAATCTGACTATAGAAGTTTTGAATAGGGGACCAAAAATGTTGACTATATCTTGTAATATATTAGTATATCTTTAGAAAGATCGATAATAAAGAAAGAATGTAATCCACTCAAAAAAGAAGAATATTACAAAATTGTAGATGCTATATGTCTCTATTCATGCAATAAGGTGGCCAATTCTTTTGTTAAGAGTTAAGATAAAAGCTTCCTTTACACACACATTCTTTGACGAATATTGGTATCTTTATATTAGTTGCAATGCTAGCTCTTTGGGATATTATTGGGTTCATCTTGATCCTTCTTTTGATCCTTGTTTCTTAGAAATCTAATCAAATCAAAAATTATCATCTCCTGCTTTTGCTCACATTTAAAAAATGGCCTTTATTATTTCCTATATATTAATGAAAGCATGCATGTCAGTTGAAACTAGTTGTCTCGTATTAAAGTATGACACAATGCAAAGTTATAAACATATAAGTTTTACACACAAGATTACTCAATTTTTATTAGAATGAAAATGAACCATGTTAGCTTATATGTGATGAATAGAACTCCTCCTAAAAGATCAAATATTATATCTCTCACAACATATTTGATTGCTAACTCTTAAATTGTAATAGGTTTGTAGTATGAGTTTTTAAATGTAATGATGCACAGTATAATAATAGTACTATTTAGTGATTATTTCATTTACATCTTACCTTTGAAATTTTCTTTTATTTTCTTAAACTATTTGATATAGTGGGGGTACTATTTTCTATTTTTATAAGTGTTTAGGATGTTAGATGCTAAAAAAAGAATCTAATTTACACATGTTTAAAATAATTATTCTTTTTAACTTTCAAATCTAATCTAATATATATATATATAAAGGGGAGTTTTTTCCAGAGTTTTTAGAGAGCCACATAAGATCTAATTTTCTTAGCGCGCCATGTAAGATTATAAATCTTAGTAGTAACCAATTAAATAGGAGATAATTAATTTCTTTTAGAATTAAATAATTCAACCGAATTTTTAGAGAGCCACATAGGATCTAATTTTCTTAGCGCGCCATTTAAGATTATAAATCTTAGTAGTAGCCAATTAAATAGGAGATAATTAATTTCTTTTAGAATTAAATAATTCAAATGCCATATAAGCAAAATTGGCGAATGAGATTTTTAAGTTTAAATTAATTAAATATTATATATTATCTTTTAATATTAGGAATTTTATCTAAATATATAACAAATTTAAGGCTCATAAAAAAAAAAAAATCGTGCATCGCAAAATAAAGGAGAGTTTTTTCCCGAGTTTTTAGAGAGCCACATAGGATCTAATTTTCTTAGTGTGCCATGTAGGATTATAAATTTTAGTAGCAACCAATTAAATAGGAGATAATTAAAATCTTTTATAATTAAATAATTCAATGCCATGTAAGCAAAATTGGCGAATGAGATTTTTCAATTTAAATTAATTAAATATAAAATATTATCTTTTGATATTAGGAATTTTATCTAAATATATAACAAATTTTAGCACATAAATATATGTATAAAAAAAATTATTTTTAAAAATTCAAACAAACCGTGCATCGCACGGGTTTCATCTAGTTGTTTATTATTTACGACTCAATGAGATATTAAACCTCAACAAAGATGCTCAAGATGCAACGGGCCGGGCCAAAATTTGTTTGTTAAAACAGCACCCCTTTAGGCCTCTATCAAGAATATGTATCGTAATAAGAAGTCAATGGAAAAAGGTCAATCATGCATGACTTTCATTTTTATTATTTATTTTGAGATTCAAATGAGGGACCAAATCGACTTTATATTTGGCCTAAGTTTACTTTTACGACATACTATTCCATAATAATTTTTTGGAATTTAAATTTTTTTTTAAATCAGATTCCAGTATACCACCAATTTTGTACCCGTCTTATCTCCTCCTAGCTATGATTACCCTTAGCCCTCTCCCTCTCTACCATAACCCTTTCCTGTAGTTTACCATACATCTGTAATAAAATGCCGATTTTTATATAAAAAAAAAAAAGTTTAGACAAATTTGACGCTCATATTGCTGACAAAATAATGCTTTTCACTAGGGAAAAGCGCGTGGAAATATACTTTATGCGAAGGATAGGAATATATGGTAGTTTTCTAAGACAGAGCATGAAAATAATGTCCCCTAGAGGCCTAGACCAAGTATATGAATAACAAATTAAACCATATCAAAATCAACATTGTAGCTAGTCTAATCCAACCTCTCTACTTTTTTTTTCCTTTTGTTACTTGCACTTCTTTAATTTCGACATAATCGATTATCACCTTTGTTTGACAATTGATTCTCACCTGTTTTACCTTCTAAACAAGTTGCCAAAAAAAGGATGGATTATGTATAGTCCATGGTTTTTCGAAGAAAAACATGATACAAAAGATGCGTTTTGAATTGCCTAGATGCTCAGAATGGAATAATCCAAAGATTATAACTCATGAGGATGGGAGAAGATCAGAGTTGTTGATCCCACGAGGAAAAAGCAACAACATAAATTAAAATCATATCTTCTTCAATTCATGCATGCATGCATTCTTATAGATCATTTGATACGTTCACATTTGGGAAATTGAACCTTTATTCTATACTTGTTAGCTCCCATGCTTCAATCTTTATTCGTATATATGAAGATCAATGTCTTTAAAACTTTGATCATTAACTAAAACTAACATGCATGTACAGTACAGAGTATTTATTTGTATGGACAATATGTATAGTATTAAGATTGGTGAACATTTTCAAAAAAAATATCTTTATATCGTACAATACTTTTGGAAAAAAATTTATAATCTTATTCGCAGTACAATCTATTTTGCAAAAAAATTAATTACTTTAAACAATTTTTTATAAAATCTTAATCTTAGTAGTATATTTTTTTGTCAAAACCACTATAAATATATATTAGCTAATCACCAATTGTAACTTGTACAAAGTAATTGAATTTATTCCTCAATTTCTCATCGCTTTGCCAACCAAATACTTACTACTCTATGGTTTTTGAGGGTCAAGTCAAAAATATTTTTTTAGCTTTATGTTGGTATTTTGTAAATAAAAAGTTTATCCAAAAATTTAAATTTCATAGTTTTATTTTTCGCAGTGTTGCAAGTGGCAAACTTGTATTGTTACTTTTTTTTTTTAAACCAACTTGTATTGTTACTTTGTTAGTGTAGGAATTGAATATCTTTGTGTTATTTACATCATAGTGTCAAGTTTGTGTCAATGATGGTGGACGATCCTAAATTAATGTTGTTGAATACTTCATATAATTTCTCGTAAACTTAACTATAATATCATAAAGTTTTCACTTCATCTTTCCTTCCCTGTCCATTTTTAATTAATTTCTTAATCACAACTAACCACTTCTCATAATCTCCGTACACTAGTCAATGCTAAAAAAAGTACTTCTTCATCGTTTCAATATATCATCTTTTTTTCTTTGAAATAAAAAGACGATCTTTTTCCTTCCATTAAAATTAATAAATGAAATAAATAATAATAATAAAAAAAAAAAAACCTTTTTCCAAAATCAATTCTAGAATTATACTTCATAATAAAATAAATAAATAAATAAATACTTGAAATTCATACGAAAGAGTCAACGTTCAATTAAGTTTACATGTAGTGATTTAAAGAGCTGGTATATTTTTTTATGTCAACCAAATAACGAGAAAGTTTCAATAACCTTTTGATGACATGGAGGGGCACCTTATCATCTATGGCCCCCTCAATCAAATTTCTTCTCATCCAAAGTCCTTATAAATTGACGGTGCGCCACGGTTAGGATTCAATTTAAGTGCCTTCCTCTTCTCTTCTGAGCTCTGACCCCCCTTCCTTCCTAACATATCCTTTTAGTTATCATCATAAACACTATTTCACGTGTATTGTCTCTTTCACTTACCCTATTTTTGGCTTCCATTTTCCTTTAATTTGCCTACTTCATAAAGTTTAGTACCACTACTTATTTTGTATTTTTGCAATTGTGAGTTAGTTTTGTTGGTTTTTGTTTTATAGATTTTTTACATTTCTTTTTCAAATACCTAACTTCTTCCTATTACTAATAACCCACAAAACTTTTCTAAACACAAATTAAAAAAAAATGGATAATAAGAAACCACAAATAAGTTCATCTTCATCTCTGACTTCTCAGCTTTTTGGGCCTCAAGAATCTTCATCATCCAATGATGTTTTAGCCTCCATTTTCCCTCCTAAGGTATATTACCTCTTTTACCCCTGTTTTCCTCTGTTTTATTAATTACTTGACATCATAAATAAATCACAAAAAAAAAAAATTAATTCGACTTATTAATAGCTAATGATTATTCTTTTTCTTTTTTAAAAATTACTTTTTGAATAGTTCAAAAATGAAAAATATTAATACAAAAAACCCACCTCCCCTGTTTTCCTCTGTTTTTTTCTTCTTTAAACTTCAATTCCTTAAATAAATAAGAATTTGATGTTGACTTTTATTTAAAACCTTTATTAATGAGTTTTTTTATGAAATTAATTTACAGGGTACAGGAAGAAATTCAGGCTATTCAGAAAACAGAGGATCATGGCAGGAGCCTTCTGGAAATCAGCCATGGAATACTAAACAAGGTATTATAACTTTCCAAAATAATTTAATCCATAAATTTATCCAAAATATATAATCATAAGTTATATTTTTATATTTCTTTCTGACATTTTTTGCAACTATCCAAAAAATAAAAATCCTAGGAATATCCTACAACTTGCCTATAGATTGCAACTAACAATAGAAAGTTTTGTCACCTTTGGAATTACACTTCTAAAGTTGTAGCACTACTTCTAATAACGAAGTTGCAATAAAATAGTCAAATTATTCCTTTATATGACTCAAAACTAGATAAGATTTTTAAACATTTTGTTGTCAACTAAATTTATGTTAGCTTGGTCATACTTTTTCAATTCTAAGTTTTAATAACTATATTATTGCTATTCGAAATTAATACTTACACTACAAATGTGCTTTCTAAAATATTCGGTTACAATGAAACGTGTTATTTAAGATACTAGTTGATTATGATTAGACTTTTCAATATGTTACTCGATATGGAGTAACTATGTGTATTATTAGGTCAAGCAAGTATTCCATACTTATGTTACTTTGTTGTTTTATTTAGATAACACGTACAAACACGGCGATACAGCTTATGGTTGCTCGGCTAATAAAGAACGAAGCACGATTTACCAGCAAGAGGGAGGAGAACCATGTTACCTTAGCTCCTCACTTTACTATGGTGGCCGTGACATGTATTCGAAACCACCTACTAATCAAAATCCAACTACATACCCTACAGTAAGTCTCCATGCTAAAGAATATATCCTTGTAACAACATTAATGTACAACTTTTAATCTTGGTTAATTATGAATAACGAATATTAATTAGTTTAATTGTTGATTATTATTAGTACAAGAAAGATGGTGGAGAAGATGATCCAAGTGGTGCTTCAAGAGGAAATTGGTGGCAAGGATCGCTTTATTACTAGAATCTATCTGCAGGCCAACTAGGACGTACTGTGTGAATATTATGGTTTAAGGTACGTAACAAAAATGTGTATAAGATATGCTTTTTTTTAACTTTATGGTAAAATTATTGACTATCAAATGAGGAAAAAAAACAGAATGACTTGACCTAATCTTTAAAAATGAATTACTAGTAGATTGAGCCTTTACAAGATTTAGAGGGCGGTATTTTGGGAATTGTTTTAGGTCATGTTTTTTCATCACCTTATTTTTCTAAACCGATACGAGTATTATTTTTACTGAATTGAAATTACTTATAGGATATTTCGTTGTATTGTAGGCTTTTGAGTTTGAATGTGGCTAATTAAGTTCAATTCTGCTATCATTTTGCAGGAAATCTGCTTATTACTATCAAACACTCTAGCATGCTCGGTTGTGGTTTATTAGCATAATATAAATGAAGAATAAGCAAATTTGCAAATCCATGGATAAAAGTTCCTCCAAGGGGATCGAACTATGGCTTTAAACGAGAATTCAAAACGACGAAATTTTCTTCATGTATACATATGTTTTCTTAATCAAGGATCCTGTCCATGGCATTATATTAGGGAAGTGATGGTTGGGAATGATGCTCGTTTTATGTCATCTACTGAACTTCCCAATTGTTGAGTTACTATGAACCTGTTTTCCTTAAGGAAAAGGGTGCTTGTATATGTAAACTGTAGTAACCGTCAAGAGGCCTTATTATATATGAACTCGATATGTAGTTAGTACGAAGTATTATCTAACATGTTTTAGTTCGACCTATAATCTCTTTAAATTACCATATTTTGAAAACTAGTTAACCACACGTATGTCTGTATGTGACCCAAGTCAAATTCGATCCAAGAAAATGTATGCCAAATCTATCAAAAATGGGCTATTCACAAACAAATTGGTTAGATAGGCCCAAAGCTTCTTTTGTCAAAGGCATGATATGAAAAACATAGCTACTAGTATAATAAATTTGATATTTTGATAACTAAGTTGTTATTTGATGATAAGATTCAAGAAGTAGAAGTATAATAAACTTGATACATGATGATGTCGTAGGTATGGCTTTGTCACGTTTTGTTCCCCCCTAGTTATGTTATTTTAGTTTGTTTTTCAAGAAGTAGAAGCATGCAAGATGATACATATATAAAGAACAAGAGCCAAGGGGACTAACACAAGAAGAGGTACGCAGGCAGCCAAAGTATAAAAATCGCGACAAGCCAAGACACCGAGCTTGATTTGAACCAAATTGACCAAACCCAACATTAAGAAAACACAACCAAACACTGAACCACAAGCACAAGCCAATATCCCAATCCTTAACACCACACTATTGACATGAACCACCATCACATTAGTCGGCCTAGTTGCTTGACCTCCTACACCGCCACCATTTGTTTTGATGGCTTGTTTGAGGGCTGAGGCGATGAGACTTGAGAATAGAAATGAGGAAAAGGAGTAGACATGGTAAGCAATGAGATCCTCCGCGACAAAGGAGGGTGCTAAGCATGAAGATGATCCATTGTTTTTGCTAACAAGAGTGTAAGACGGATTACTAGGATCGGCGTTAACAATGCCTAAGAAGAGGGCTAAGGTGAACAAGGAGTTTACATTTACAATACCGTCTAGGGCCATTATAAGAATGGGTGTTGTGGTAGAACTTTTATGGTTAGTTATGCTATTATTCTCCATTATAATGTTTATGTTGCTAGCTTTTTAGGAGAAATAGTTTGTAAAGTGACGAATAAAATGGAGAATTTTTTTTATAATTGTTTGAGAAGATGCAATATTTTGGTGGTTGGTGATGATGACTGTGGAGAAACGTCCAAGCAACAACCTGAGAATATGACTTGCACAAAATATTTCCTTAGTTTTTAAGGGGAGTCCAAAAATTACATATATATGAATTGCGCCGTTGCCGGGGATCAAACCCGGGTCATCCGCGTGACAGGCGGAAATTACCACTATACTACAACGACTGGATTGTCTAGTTTGATTGAAATACTTAACTTTCTTTATCTAATCATTAATAATTCAAAGCAAAATTAAATTCATTCAAAATTCTACCTCTGTTCCATATTCTTAGCAACTTCGGGGTATTATTTGTGAAATATAAAATATTGCAAAGTTGCAAAAAAATATTAAATGGAAGTAGTACGAACTATGTGCTTGACGAGTGAATTTAAAGATAAATAGCTTGATTGCTAGTGTTTTTCAAATGAAAAGCTTTGATGATATCAATCAATTGAAATTCATGTTATTTTGTACAATGTACTGTATTATTTTTTGTAATTGTTCATGACTCTTATGTACCTGATATATCGTGCATACAATTTCTTACATACATCCGAGTAAAATTTCTTACATACACCCAGATAGACCGAACAATGTATTTTCAGCATCTTTACCCCCAATAGAATTGGAAAACATAGTACTATTCAATGATACATATTCCATTAACTAGCTAGCTAGGTTAAATTAGTCTTACTAATCAATGATATATCCAACTAACTAAAACAACAGTCAATAAGAGCCGTACTTTCCGATGATGGATATTGGCAATCGTATCATGTCCATGTTTCTAAGTGCACACTATACATTATTGAAGTTTAAAGTCAAGATTTTCAACTTCTTTTTAAGAAACATAAGCTAATAATGCATGTTCACAATGATCGTGCCCACTATTGATTTGAATCATCAGTGCATATCCCAATTGTCTGCAAGACATCAAAATTAGGTTTTTCTTTGTTATCTAGTAATTAAATGAGTAATTTTTGTATACATCCGGCATATAATAATTTACTGTATATCGGGATCACTTTTACAATTTTTTGGATAATTTTTATCAATGAAGCATAAATATTTTGTAACTTTTATTTATGTCAGGGTAACTTTTATTGCAACTTTTGCTCATTTTAAGGTACCTTTATAACTGATATACAATATTTTATTGTACATCCGATTTATTTAAAAGTTTGTCTAATTAAAGTGATTGATCAAGTTGTGTTTAGACCATTTTGTTGCCTTATAAAAAGTTTTTAATAGCAATTTAATTAATTATATATACATTTTTTTTTAAGAATTGGGGTCACAAGTGTAATAACCAAAGATGATTTTTGTGAAATAATAATATTTCTTATTAAGACTGAAATAAATTATGAGACACAAGAAGTTTATTATATCTCGCATTTTATATATACAAGTATCTCCTAAAATGACTCGTTACTCATTAGGGATATATAAGAATCAAGTGATCGATGCATGAACTATTATTGAACAAATTGCAACTAGCTAGATACAGATCATCATATATTCAAAAACTCTTTTTTAAACGGTAGTAACACAATACATTATATGAAGTCATTTCCACTACTTTGGTATGTTTTTGTGAATGTAAAAGATAAGGATGTGACAACTGATTAAAAAAACATTTCTTATCACCTATTGAAAATCTTAAATACATCCATGATGATGACAAATTCCATCAATTAAAAGAATCTTGACAATTGGCTATAAAAAGAGAGAATTATTGTACTAGGCAGGTTAGAATAACATATAGTGTTCAACCATTTGTTAGAGCACTCTGAATGGTGAGAGTTTTTTTAGCTCATGAACATTTTTTGTGAGGAAAAAAAATGCTCACAACTCACAATGGTGAGTAAAATGAAAAATAGGTAAAAAATGCTCATGAGCATTTATTAAAAAGCTCAAAAGTTGAGCATTTTTTGCCATGAACAGTGTTGCAAGTGGGCCCCACACACGTCAGAAAAAAAAAAAAAAAAAAAAAAAAAAAGCTGACTCTAACATCAAAACGACGCGTTTTGATGAAGCTGCCTCAAAGGCGCGCCTCAAAACGCGTCGTTTTGAGTATCAGAAAAAAAAAAAAAAAAAAAAAAAAAAAAGGGAAGCTGACGCGTGCAGTTCGCTGGCGAATGAGGACGCGACACGTGGCAGCTGGCAGCAAGACAACCAATCAGAAAATACTAGCCGTTTTACAACGGTTATTTATGTATTTCCCATTTTCAGAAAAATATATTTTGTAAAAAAAAAAAAAAATTACCAACGGTCATAAAATTAAATTCTCTATAAATAGACATGCATTTTGATATATTTTGATACAATTTCAAAAACACCTTAAAATCCTCCAAATTTTAATTTTCTTAAAAGTATTTTAATTTTGTAGAAGAATATTGCTATTGCAATTCATCCATATTGAGGTAAAAAAAAAATTATTTAATTTTTAAAATCAGTTAAATATAAGTAGTATATTTAATTTTTAAAATCAGTTAAATATAAGTAGTATATTAATTGCGCATGACGTTGCAAATTAATTGTTCTCTAATATTGTACCGCTTTTAAAATAAATAAAAAATTATGAGCTTTTTTTTTACAATTATTTATAATAACATAAATAATTTTACGATAAATTTTAACGATAAAAAAGAAAAAAATAAAAAAAATAAGTTACACATAATTAAACTAGTTTTTATTTATTTGGAGTAATGTTAAAATATAAATGAAATAAATAAATAAAGAAGTGTTGTGTAGGAGAGAGAAAGTTATGGTGGGGTATTGAAAAAGTAAGAGAGAGATAGTGGTGGGTGAGCATTTTTTTTGCTCACCATTGGGAGAGGAAATATGAAAAAAATTTGCCCATGAGCAAAATTGATTTGTTGAGAGAGAAAGTGGGTAGAGAGAGAGTGGGTGAGCATTTTTTTTGCTCACCATTGAGAGTGGTCTTAGGAGCAAGAAGTTAAATTAAAAATGGGGGAAGAAGTAGAAGTGAAAATGAAAGTGAAGTTATTTGGTGTTTGGTCAAGCCCTTATAGCCGTAGGATAAAATTAGCCCTAAAATTAAAAATTATACCCTTTGAATATGTGGAAGAAGAACTTTCTAACAAGAGTTGTTTACTTGTTAAGTACAACCCTGTCCACAAAATGATACCTGTTTTGGTCCACAATGAAAAGCCAATTCTTGAATCCTTAATTATTCTTGAGTATATTGATGCAATTTGGAAAGATCATCCTCTTTTACCACAAGATCCCTATGAAAGAGCCCAAGCTAGATTTTGGGCTAAATTCATTGATAATGAGGTCATTCATTCATATACTCTTTCTATTTTTCATTCATCAAGTATATACTTTTTTGTTTCCAAAAAGGTGAGTTATATACTCCCTTCATCCACATTTATGTGTAACAAAGGAATATTTTATATCTCACAAATAATACTCTTTTGTTGCACATAATTGTATGCGGAGGAAGTATTTGTAATATAATATAGGTACTTTTAAATTGAAATCGATATCATGAATACTAACTAGAACAGATTTACAAAAGGAGGTCATTAAATTATAGGAAGCCTTGATCTTTCTAGTGATGAAAAATGTATGCTTTTCTCTAATATATTTTCTTCTTTAACAAAGTGACATCGATTCTTTTAAAAACATCGTATTTATTGTATGTGTTGTCAATTTGTCATCGTTTTCAACTCCTGTAATTATATGTTACATTGTAAATTTTTGTCTTGTATGTGTACATATCTTGTAAGAAGGATCGATGACAAAATTTCCACAAGAACATAAGCTTTTAGGTTTTGTGAACTACTAGAATATATAATTTTAATCTTCTATTTTAAAAAGCAGTTATTTTCTAAAGATCTAGCTGGTAAGTTTATGAAAATTTAATAACAAAATTAAAGTTTGCTGCCAAATTTTATTTGCATATTTGTAGCTCTTGCCAAGTGTATGGAGGACTTTCCTTAGCAAAGAAGAAGAGAAAGACAAGACAAAGAAGGAAGCTAGTATGCTTCTAAAAACTCTCGAAAGTCAATTGAAGGATAAATGTTTTTTTGGAGGAGATAAACTTGGATACTTGGACATAGTTGCTAATGTTGTGGCATTTTGGATTGAAAGGGTGCAAGAAGTTGTTGGCATTGAACTTATTAGTCAAGAAAATTTCCCCATTTTATGTAGTTGGATTGAAAGATTTTATGATGTTTCTATTGCCAAGGAATGTTTACCTCCAAAACATAAACATCTCGTGTACATTAAAGCTCGTTATGAAGTAGCACATGGAACAAACAAGGACAACAATTGATCAAACTAAGTGATCTATTAGCGTTACTTCAGGTTTGTGATCCCTCTTATGCATCTACCTTAGCTTTCGTGTATTTCCCGCCTCCTTTTAAGATCAAGACTTACATATGAGGAAGAATAAAATGAATCATACGTATATAAGAAGTGCTTTGATCCTTGTGATTTTATACGAATCTCTAAATTTTATGTTATAAAATTGTTTTCACACTTATATAGCGTATATGTGTTGGTTTTCGAGAGGAAAAAAAAAATTAAAAAAAAGGTAACAAAGCAAAGGGCGGGAGTGTATGAGAAATATCTCCTGTTAAGTACGGAGCATAATGTATTAAAGTATGCATCGACAAAGAGTCTTGCTCAAAAGTTGCATATAAAACCAAAGTGATTGATAAGCAAAATATTTGCAACATCAATTGACAATAAAAATCACATAAAATTCCAAGAAAACAAAAGGCTCAAACCAGCAGTGATTGTTCTGTTCATGCAATTGTGATGCTAAACAGAGAGATTATTCACACCCAATAAAAAGAGTGGTACTAGTAGAATATAAGCAATATTCAATATAATGTTACAAAGTTGTTGGTATTCTTCACTCTTCAGCATTATATTCATGGCCGCGAGTCCTTTACAACTGTCACAGGGCAGCTTGCATGCTCTAGCACGTAGTTTGTGACACTCCCTAGCAGTACCCTGAGTAGTTCACATCAAAACCGTCCATTAATAGCGGTTCATGATCTCGAGATTATCACCATCCAAAGATACGTGTGTATATCAGCTAGCTTAATTGGTAAAATAACTACAGAGTAAAACATTGCTATGCTTACATCACTAAATGTTCGTGAAATGTTATATTACGTGAAACAAAAGATGCTTGAGACCACAAATGTTGAAATCCAACCTTCTTTATTTTCAAGGTAAACACTAGACCTAAAAGGCTATATAATAATAGAGACGACTTTGAACATGTAACGAACCTCAATAAAGTCTTTCATAGTCAGCTTAAATCAATAATATACTACTCCGATTCATTTCACAACAATGTTGGCAAATAGAAATTTAGTACTATTCACAAACTCCGCTTTAATAATCTTTTGTGATTTACTATACATTAGGATAAACCAATCAGCTAGTCATGTAAATATCGTTAGATTCTGACATAATATACAATTTTGAATTACACAATTATGAGAGATATTAATTCAAATGAAAAAATCATATGAAAAAAAGGTATCACCTTTGGATGGAACCGAGGCCTCTGCTTCCCATGATCAAAGTACTCAGCTCCATGCTCCCAACTGCTTCACAAATTTTTTCCCTAGCATCTCCCCAGTAGATTTTCCAAAGCACAGTTACCTATCAATTTTTTAATCGAATTCCCCGTTATTTTCTATTTTCATTTGATTAAATGGAGCAAGTAAAATTGAACGGCAATATTAAACAAAAGAAAAAAAAATCCCAAAAAGCATTAAAAAAAAGGATAATTGTATATAAAAACCTGTAGCTGTTTAGATATGACATCAAGCAATTCAAAAATCTCAGGCTCACGCTCTACTCCATAGCTATGCATCACCTCAGGATCACAAAATTCAGCAAGTGGTATCAAAGCTGCCATTTTTAATTTTAATTTTGGTTAATCAATTTTGATCCAAAATATAATTAACTCGATTTAGCTACGACACTAACACAAATCATACGTGTTAGCCAAATAAAAGGTGAATAAAGTAAGAGACACGTACGTGAACCGGTGTCGGACCAAATAAGGTTACGAGACTCTAAGGATTGAGAGTGCTTAACGTGAATAACAATTAGGGTGTCACCCTTTCTAAATAATCCATCAATTGCCCATTTTAGTGCTGCTTTGCTTCCCTTTGAGAAATCCAATGCCACTCCTAATCTCCTTCCTTCTTCAGCCATTTCTTGTACAAGTTTTATATTATATGATCAATAAATCTGCAATTTAGATAAAAAAAACGTATCATATTATATCATATCATATTGTATAACATAAAGTTTTGATCAAGAAAATTGAAAGGTTTGACTTACCAAGAAGATGATGTTGTTGTTGGAGAAAATGATAAGGGCAAGTAGAAATCAAAAACTGCTTCTTCTTATTAATAATTTAAATAGGCTAATAAATTAGGCCGACTAAAAGAATCAATAATATATGGCGAGGAGTTAAAAGGACAAGTAGAAAGAGCCAAGTCAATTAAGGCGACAACTTGATGAATGTGACATTGGATGCCTTGGCAACGTGCTGGATAATTAGAACCAGTTATTTTTAACATTTTTTTTTAGCAATAGGAACTTGTCTTTACTTCTTTAGGTAGGGTCCTCAAGGTGCATCATCACTATTTGTGGAGTATATTCAAGTATTCTTTCCTAATTAATAATATCATCAATTTATTTAGATTCATCATCAATCCATTAAAGAATTTAGGTTGTGGTAATAATTAATTAATACTCCCTCCGTTTTTAAATACTTGCTCCATTTCTCTATGCGCGGAATTTTAGGAGAAATTGGATAAAGTAATAAAATATGGAGGTAGTGAGGTGAGTGAAAGAATAAAAAAAAAGGTAAAAAGTAGTGGAGAGAATTGGAAAATAGTGAATATGAAATTAATAAAATATGATCATGGTGGGTCCACTATGTGAGAGAAATTTATTAAATATTGTAAAAGCTTTCCAAATTTGGAAATGAAGCAAGTATTTTAAAACGGCCGAAAGAGGAAAGTGGAGCAAGTATTTAAAAATGGAGGGAGTAATCTACTTCTTTTTTTAATTTAAATTCATCGTCAATCTACTATGTTCTCAACTTTGAGGTTGTGGTAAGAATTCGAGAAATTTTGAGATGGGAATTCCCTTACCATTTCTCCCACGCTCCCATTACGATAGTGGATAGTCTGCCAAATTTCAATGTGATAAATTGGTCATTCTTTAATTTTGAATCAATAAATGGCGTGATGGTATTGAGCTATGAAGGAATCCCCAAATTTGCAAGAAATTGAAACAAAGAATTGTGGACTTTCAAACAGAATTGATTTATCTTGTAAGAGAAATGAAACCATCATTTGGATTGGGTAACCAAAATCAATTTTGGGCCTTGGTGGGTTCCATAAATCATATATATAGCCCAATTCTTTTAATCAACGGAATTTTGTTTTTGTTGGGCCTTCTGCAGCACTACTCCTGCCTCTTGAGTTCCAACCTGCCCTATGAGTATGCCCGTCCATAAACTACTATAAAGTGAATACTAACTTAACAAAAGTGAATATTTTCTCTTAAATGGGGCATGCTATAGCTAATTAATTTTGTGCGGCCCAACATGGTTTTTGGCATAGATCTTTAAAAAAAAAAAAAATTAGACTTTAACAAGTTGGAACCTCTCACAGGTCCACCCAACCCAAGCTCACTATTTCCATTGTTTTTTTTAAGGTAAGGAAATTAACATTAGATAAGTTATTATAGTGTGTGTGTCAATTATGTTATATAGCAATAAAAGATGATCAAAGTTATAAGATTTAGTTAATTTACACATCAAGGTGTACCTTATAGCAAATCTTGTACCATACGGCTATACCTCATATACAAGTATTTGTCGAAATATACAATTACTTGGTATAAGATACAGATTAAGGATTTGTTCTCTTCAGCTTAGTTCTGTTTAGCTCTTAATTTCTCTCTTAAAATATTCATTTCAGCTCTATTCAGTTCATTTCAATTTCAATCAGTTTTGTTCAGCTCAGTATATATAAACAGGCCCTGAATAAGATCATGAAATGGTAAAATTCTGAGAAAGATCCAACTAAATGGGACTAATGGGAGCCACACGTAAATGATACACACGTGAATTTCCTATCAATCTTCTTCAAACTTCACATAAAAGGAAAAGGTTGGCAATTGCTTTCAATATACTTTGGCGTTTTCATAGTACTCCCATTTCTATGTCACTTCATTACTCTCACTTCCCAACAAATTCCGCATTATTCTCATTTCTTCCGATATTTACGATGCCACTCGTATTATCAATTATATAAATTACATATAAATTATATCTATTTTTGGTTCTTTGGTTTATCTATAAAGTATGATATTTATCGAATTACATATAAATTAAATCTATTTTTGGTTCTTTGGTTTATCTGATTGGCTAAATGTTGAAACAAGATTATGTTCTCTTTTTCCAACTTTCATTTTAATTAATCAATTTTTATACCAATCTTTTCTCAATCAATCTTCCATAACAAATGTAACAAACTAACAAAGTTATACATCAACACTGATGTTATTAATATAATACATAGAACTTTATTCGTTCTTTTTGATACTCCATTTTGAAATAGCAATTTTTTTTACTACCTCCGTTAATTATTATTTACAACAAAGGGGTATTATTTGTGAGATATAACGGAGGTAATATATTCTTTGGTTCCATAGACTGTTTTATGAACAAAAGGCTAACAAATTAGGAAAATACTCCACACGCAGTAATATGCATATAATTATTGCAAATCACGATTATGTATAAAGTATGATTGTTGCAAATCATGATTATATAATACGTAGTACAGTTAAATTACTCTTGAAAAGCCAAAATCATAATTCATTCCTTTTTTATTTTTGATAGCCAAAATGCCCTTCAAGCCTTCTTTACCTACGAGCACTCTTTAAAAACAAACTTAAAAAAAAAAAAAAAAAATTCTAACTTCATATAATAATCAAGATATGAAATCAAATCTCGTCTACCTTTGTTGACAAAATCGACAATGATAAATCGTCAGCAACTCATGGGAGGAAGATCCGAAGTTTTCCCGGGATCCTGAGAACCCTTAATAAAAACCCCAGTACCGAAAACGAAGAACCCGATAGCATGACCCGCAATAGCAGCAATAAAAACCCCAGCATTGAACGACATAACAGCAAGCATAATCAAGTAAGCCAACCCCATTCGTACGGTATGAAGAAGCGTAAGCATAACACCCGAAACGACGACGTTTCGTCCATTATCCTTAGCAAAGCGAGAACGCGAGAAACCCTCAACAGAAAAAGCCATTAAGAATACAAATATTAGAGAAAGAACGTACATGCCAGTGTGGGTCCCAGGCCATCCATTGAATAAAATCAAAGCGTTTTTTCCCCAATAAAATGTCATGTGCATCATCATCTTCTTATGACCCATGGCACCCATCGTCGAATTTAAATTCGACGATGGTGCCATGTTCATTCCATTCATCGAACCATGGTCCATCTCTACTTAATCTCAAATAAAAGATAACTTTCTTACTAAATTATATTTGTTTCGTGTTTAGGAGAAGGGTAGGACTAAAAGAGGAGAATGAATTTAATTTAGTGTGATTTGAATAAAGTGGGGAGGTTTTTGTTGTATGTACTACAAGTAGTAGATGTATTTTGGTAGTACATAGAAAATGTAATTTTGGGATTTTTTTATAATTTTTGTGGGTGATATAAAAGATAAATGTTGGTTATTTATGGAAATTGGAGTGTACTACACGATTAGGACTTTAGGAGTAGTACAGTACAGTGATAAATTAATGAATTTATGATATTTATCTTAGGAGTAGATGTGATTATGTGAAGCTAATGCTGAGTGCCGAAATAAATGGGGTGTTTACAGTCGCACTAAATATATGTGTGCAGAAGATGAGAAGAAATTAATTGGTTAGAAGATTTTAGGAAATTGGATGTTTATCATGCAAATATGCAATGTGCCAAATGAACATTTGTTGTATTATTAACGATTAGTCAACCACAAGTATTTATTATTGTAGACTAGTCAACCAGAAATGTGTACTCTCGAATTGTACCATAAACAAGTCAACTACAAATATGTACGAGTTTATGCACCCTCGGTTTCAAATAATTTTGACAATTTTTTAGTCAACCTAAAAAATGAAATCGCATTATCATTTGTTTTTTTTTTTTGGTGTTTAGAGAGCCACAAGGGGAGGGGGTGAGAATCGATCCCAAGATCTCTTGGTAGAAGGAGGAAAGCTCTAACCACTTGAGCTATCCCTCACTCTCCTCGCATTATCATTTGTAGAGTAGAGTATTACTGCCTTTTAAAGGGAGGGTTTAGATAATTTGCGGGATGGAACGGGGTTATCACTTCTGGCATATTTCGCAAGACGTGGATCTGCCTTTTCACTCTTGTAATTTTAACACTATCTATCTATATATTATTATAGTTGTTGGAGCATTTTTGAGTTTGATAGAAATGTCATACTTGTAATTGAATCGGAATTAAATGACTTGTACGTAAGCAATGAATAGAGAGTAGTACTTGAGCTCAACTGATCGACTTCACTCACACTTATAGTTTATCGGTTTATCCCTATATTCTAATTAAAAGTTTAACCAAACTCTAGTGTTATGTTAATTACTCCTATATCTCTTAAATTGTCTTATTGTCTATTTAAAATTATATATATATATATATATATATATATATATATATATATATTATATATATATATATATATATATATATATTATATATATATATATATATATATATAATATATATATATATATATATATATATATTATATATATATATATATTATATATATATATATATATATATATATATATATATATATATATATATATATATATACCTCCATTTATGCATTGCAATTCACATTGGTGACATTTTCCTTTTGTTTTTAATATCGTAGCTTATTGGCTTTTTATTTTTTCTTTTTTTCTTCTCTATCTTTTACTCCGTAATTTAAATTAATTAAAAATTTTGATATAACTCTTATAGATAGTGTTGGTCAATTATACCCTTTAAACAAAATTGTGACATAAGACTAAAATGAAAGAAATTCCAAAATATAACTATCTATGTGGGCACATTATGCGCGTAAACCATCCTAGTTCTAGAAAGATGATCATATTGTGCTTAAATTATCTAGGCTCGTTGGCTGTGACTCAGCTCAAGAACCTAATTTAATTCACCAAATAGGCCCCTTTTTTTTGTTGGATGTGGAATATTAGACCACAAATCAAGATACATATCATATTTATTTCTATATTTATACTTCGGACGAAACAATTGAATGCCGAGGGGGCCCTTTCACGGGTGGCATTGCATATTTGCATGCATGCATAACATATTTGGTGATCTTTAATTGAGACTGTTCCACCGTTCACACATTAATAGTAAAAAAAAAAATGTTAAAAAAAGAAAGAATCAATGAAAAAAAAAAGTACAAGCAATTTGCAATATAATTCTTTACTAAGAAATTTTATATTCTTAAACTTGATGGAAGCTCGAAAGCACTATAAATACTGATATAGTGAAGAGATAGTAAAATCAGTTCATTCAATAATTGCCTTCAAAAAATTTAAATAGAAGTCAAGTAATAATGGAAAGAGGTGCTTCCACTTACCTTAAGATAGTCCTCCTTGGTGCACTCTTCCTAAGTGCAACAGGTTCATCATCTTTTCTTAATTTTTTTGTTACTTTTAATTTGTAACACCATTCATAATTTTCCTAATCACTTGAATTTGATAAATAAAACTACTCCGTTATAATTGTATCATAATACCAATACAATAATATAATTGATAGTAATATTTTTGTTGAATGTCGTACGTTAAATTATAGTTATCGATCTAAATTGATAATTCGATTTGAATTGGATTGAATTTCAATTTTAACCCGAATTATGAACACCCTAATATACAATATAATGCATAATGCATTCCACACACAACTATGGATTATGTGTATGATTGGTTATTAATAAAATATTATTGTTTGGCAGCGTCAACGTTGGAAATGATAGAAGTCAAAGAAGATATGATGAATAATCTGATGATGATGATAGAAGAAGCCCAATTATCAAAGGGAGAAAATAACAAAATAATTGAAGAGGTAGTCACGTGCCAAGGAGGTGGTCAAGTATGCCATGTTTTTAACAATCCTTGCTGCAATACCTTCGTTTGCATCAGTCACAAGTGTGTGTGATAATGCTGCTTCTCATCACTACTTAAATTATGTTTTTATTAAGCCTAAAATAAATAAAGTTGTTGGGTATTATTGGGACGTTTTTCCAAAGTAAGCTTAAGTAGCAAAATATATACGTAAATGGTTGCGTGGCAAAAGTATTTACCAAACTAAGCTTTCAGGGTAAAACGCTGTCTCGGACAGCGTTTTATGCCCTAGTTTTTTTTATAAAAAATTCAACTTAAAAACGTTGTCTCAGACAGCGTTTTACATGTTGACTTTTGTTTTTTAAATTTCGTAATTTTTGATATTAAAATATATATTATATAGACCTGTATCACTAGATAAATTAATCATAAAATAAATTAATTAATGTGGAGTTTTAATTTCATTCGATATATCAATCAGATACTCCGTACTAGTATGAACATGGACTAAAAAAAATATAACGAGTATGTTTTTGTACTTGAATTGATTTACAGGAAAATCAATATATATTATCGTATGAGATTATGGTACACATTACCTAACGTGTAATATAATAGGGAAGTTGTACATACTAGTATACTACTTGCAAATGGAGGAACTTGTGAATTTGTGATAGATTGTAAATTAATGATAGGGACATTCGGTAATGTGAAAACCCTTCTAGAACGTGAGCCAGTGACGATACAGAGTAACATGCACATAATTGTTGCACAAATTTGGACCCAAAATTGATAGAGACGGTATAGTAGGATGGCCGCCAAGTTTATCGCATATGTCACAAAGCAATATATATACACAGATGCATAGCCTTCTAGAAAACTGTTTTTTCACCATTACCCTAAGTTAAAATTGATAAATCTAATATATTAAGGGTCTGTTCACATTTACTGAACTGAATTAAAATGAATATTTTATGAGAGAGGGAACTTAGGAGTTGAACTGAACGAACTGGACTGATGGGAGCTGAATTGAACGGATGGAAGCTGAATTGAAATTAAATAAATGTGAACAGACCCTAATGTTAAATGAAGTATCTTTTTTTTTTCCTTCAAATTATACATTCAGTTGTGTTTTCAACTTTTCTTGATCAGTAAATTTGCACTATCTTATTTTAACTACTCTTTATTTTTACGTATAAAAATATGAATAATTTATTCTTATTAATATAGTTAATTCTCAAAAATAGTGATAATTTAATTACTATTGATAGTGCTCTTTGATATTATAGTAATGCATTATTTTCCTATAAAAGCAATCCCATGTATAATTGGTGCATACCTCAATATAGTCTTTCAAGCAATTATTCTTTACTTAACATATAATTGAAAGTTTGAAACCCTTCATTTCTTCATTTATCTCAATCATTTTTACCTAATTAAACCCACCAAGAAATTAAATCTTAAAAAGTATATACAATCTTCCTTTTTTATTTTTCCTAACTACGAAATTAAGAGCAAGAAAAAATGGAGATTCAATCAGAAAAAGGAAGGGTGGTGATGTTGGTGTACCCTTTACAAGGTCACATAAACCCAATGCTTCAATTAGCAAACATCCTTTATTCTAAGGGTATATCCGTCATAATTGCTTATCCTACGGATTTCAACCCTCTTTAACACCTCCAACCATCCTGAATTTGCCTATATGCCCCTCAAAGCCGCCGACGTTGGCGGCTTAGAGGTAACAAACGTGGTGGATGGAGTTGGGGGTGTTATTGGGTTTACAAGAAGTCTTAATAAGATGTACAAAGAACAATTTGAAAAAAGTGTACAAGAATTGATGGCATATGAAAATGAAAGGAAGAGAGGAAAAATAGGGTGTATAATATATGATGTGTTTATGTATTTTGCTCAAAGTGTGGCTGACCAATTCATGATTCCTGGGATTTGTTTGAGGACAAGTTGTGCTGCTTCTATATTGGGTATTACAGCTACGCATACCCCTCAAGAACGTGGATTTAATATGCCTGTTCACGGTAAGTTTTTATAGTTAATCACACTTTATTTTTGGGCCGGGTTAATTTTGAGTCAATAGCAAATCATATAAGTTTAGTTGTTCAAGTATTGTTCGGATTTGGGTTGGGTGTAGTCATATTGGTCAATTTCGCACTAGAAAAATATGTTTTTAAAAGGGGATTAGTGAACACCCCATGCAACTTCGTTACTAATCTGAAAGTCTACTCTGATTTATTGAACTGAATCAAACTGAACTATCTATGAGGCAATGAAATTAGAAATCGAACTGAACTAAAATTAAGCTGAACAGAACAAGTCATGACTCATGAGTGCACAATTCGAATATTAGAAAATTAAAAATTTTACATGTTTAAACATTATTGGACATGTATGTGAAATTACTGTTATTCGATGCTAATGGAATTTGAAATTACTGTTTTTTGGTAAAATACAGTGCCAATTGAAAGTTTGGTTCAAGTGCCTGAGCTAAAAGCATTGGAATTGGGTAAAGTTGCCGAGCATTTGAATGAGTTAAATGCAGCAGTAGCTACAGCATTTAACAAGTCAATCGCAATTATTGTCAACACTATGGGCTTCTTGGAATGGGCTGCTATCAATAAGGCCCAAGAATACTTCAAGGCCACTGTCTATCCAATTGGCCCATTTCACTTATATGCTGAAAATACCAACAAGTCTAATTCTCTCTTGAATGAAGATCCAACCTGTATAGCATGGCTGAACCAACACCCACCAAGGTCAGTCCTCTATGTGAGCTTTGGTAGCCTAGCTAGCATGAGCGAGAAGGATCTACTCGAGACGGCTACGGGGCTGGTCCAAAGTAACCAGCCCTTTTTATGGGTGATTAGGCCTAAGATGGTCATTGGAGGACGATGTTGGGCCGAGATTCTACCACGGGACCTCATCGAAAGAATCGAGGAAACGGGCCTTGTAGTTAGTTGGGCCCCACAAAGGCAAGTATTAGGCCATGGTTCGATAGGAGGGTTTTGGACACATTGTGGGTGGAACTCGACAATTGAAGGAGTTTGCGAAGGGGTGCCCATGATTTGTAAGCCCTTCTTTGGTGACCAATTTTGGAATGCTAAGTACATTACTAAAGTGTGGAAGATAGGGATAGAAATAGAGAATGAAATTGAAAGGGTAAATGTTGAAAGAATTATTAAGGAACTAATGGTGGGTGAGAAAGGGAAAGAGATGAGAAAAAGAGCAATGGATTTGAAAGATAAAGTTGAGTTGTGTTACAAAGATGGAGGTACTTCTTACAAGTACGTCGACCAATTAGTAGAATTGATTGCCTCTTTTTAGATATTCCTTTAAGATGTAATTGCCTACGTCTTTTAAATACTTTTCATTACTTTTTTTTTTTTTTTTGGGTTAAAGTCTGAAAATTTTGTCTACGATTTTATTAACTTATTATATTAACTTATTATCAACTATATATATATATATATATATATATATATATAGAGGATTGAGATACTTTACACTTTTTTCATAACTTTGTAAATTGTACGAGTAACAAAAATAAGCAAGGGTTGGCACAAATTTAGAAAACCATGCATTATCATAAGATAATTTGATAGATATGTAAGTTACAAACAAGACACAACACCCACTTACAACTTTATTGCATACATTGAAACATTACATAGATCTTGATCATATGAAGATTCAAGATCTTAATTGTAAAACAAATTAAAACATAAATAATGATAAAGTGTCATAAGTTGGTCTTTTACTTAATTGTGACCAAAACTTATGACTAAACCATGACAATTGAGTCATTGTAGTAGCTTAATAGCCTTAACTTACCAGGCGGCACAAGCACCATCATAACACATAAGGCCAGGACAACAATAATTACCGCCATTGTGGGTGGAATTTGACAATAGAACGTTTTTGCGAAGGGGTGCCCATGATTTGTAAGCCCTTCTTTAGAGACCAATTTTGGATTGCTAAGTACATTAGCAAAGTGTGGAAAATAGGGATGCAAATAGAGAATGAAATTGAAAGGAAGAATGTTAAAAGAATTGTTAGGGATTTAATGGTGGATGAGAAAGGGAAAGAGATGAGAATTGGAGTTGAAGGACGAAACCGAGTTGTGTTTCAAGGATGGATGAAGCCATGAAGGTACTCCTTACAAGCACATGTACTTTGAAGTATAAACCTGAACATTATATCAATTTAATTTGCTTCATCGCATTGTCTCTTTGTAGTAAATTATATTATTTGTTAAATAATACTCACATGAAATTATATATATTAACGTCTATATAGTGATTTTAGAGATTTTGAACAAAAAAAAAAAAAAAAAAACAATCTTTAAGGGATTGAGAATAGAGAAAGTCACAAGATGAAAACTACTCCGTACTATACTTAACAAATTACGAGCACGAGTTCTATACTATAGCATCTTTTTCGTCACTTATTTGTCTATCTTCCCTTTTCTCATCCTTCATTATTTTCCACAATTGCTATACATTCTGTTCTATGGCCTTAAAGTTTCATGTAATCCGTATTCACGAACATTTATACAAAGTACATTTGTAATTACAGTATTTTGACTACAAAAAATAAATAAATAAATAAATAAATAACAAAAAAAAAAGGGTCACATGATCGAACCATCTATACGGACAAAATTGGGCCATTCTTATCACTGAAAATGAAAATCAAATCTCATTTTCATATTTTATTTTTGGATCCAACCGAATCTCGTTATTATGAAATATGAATAACAATATCAATATCAGATGATGGACCACTTCTTGACTTTAAGTTCCCAAAAAAATTTAAGGTAGCAAATCGAATTTATGTATTTACACCCTCCACTATAGGTAGAGTTGTCAGTTTATGACCCGAATCGTTAGACCCGACTGTTTCGAACTAATCCGAAAAGGAACTGAACTGTTTAAAATCCATTTTTTGGAAACCAAAAACTGACCCGACCCAATTTTTTCCAACCCGAAACTGAATTGAACCGAATTTGTGCAAACCGTTTCTAACCCGACCCGTAATCAAGCCAAACCGTTACAACCGGAACTGAAAGCAACCCAAACCGATTACGTTAAAACCCGATAGAAACTCGACCTGTTTATAAACCGAAAACCGTTAAAACCCGATAAAAATCCAATAAACCTAAATCGTTCCAACCTGTAAGCTGTTGTGACCGAACCGGTTATAATCTGTAACCCGTTGTGACTGAACCGTTTATCAACCGTAACCCGTTGTGACCAAACCGTTTAAAACTCGTAACCCGTTATGACTGAGTCATTTACAACGTGTTACCCAATATGTTTATGATCTAATCCGTTTCAACCCACTACTCGATAAACCCAACTCATTCATGACTTGACTTGATTATAACATGACTCGTTCCTACCCGTTATCTGACTAATTCGACCCGATAGTCCGACTCAATTTAAACCGATATGATTTGATTAGAAACCCGCTTCAAATTGGGTAAATTCGTTTTCAAACCAACCAAGTTCAATCTAAATCGATTATAACCTGAAACGATAATGATTGGACCCGATTTCACCCAATTTGTTTTGAACCGAAATCCATTTTCGAACTGACCCAGTTAAACCCAAACTGATTATGACCCGAACCTATTACGACCCGTCCTGATTAAGACCTGAACTGTTTTCAAACCGACCCGCTTCAACCCAAATTGATTATGACTCGAACCAACTAGAACCCGACCCGATAAGGACCCGATCCTTAAGCAACCTAAGCCATGTGTATCGGGACTTGTCATCAACAAATGACACAAAATAGTGGTAACCTCCCATACCTTCAACTCTAGATGGACCCCAGCAATCTGAATGGATGTAATCGAGCACTGCATCAGTAATGTGAGCACCCTTGCTGAACTTTGACCTGTGTTTCTTACCAAACACACAATGCTCACAAAATTCAAGGTTGGCAACCTTGACCCCGGATAGAAGACCCCTCTTGGACAATAGCTGCATCCCCTTCTCCCCCATATGACCAAGCCTCATGTGCCAAATCTTAGTCATCTCCTGGTGAGATACAGATGCGCAAACCGCAGAACTAGGCAGTGTAACACCCTCAAAAACATAGAGGGTGTTCCTTTTGATACCCTTAAGTACCAACTCAGAACCTCTGAAAATACACAACTCCCCATCTGAAAACACACCATTGTACCCCAATTCATCCAGGGTACCCAATGAAATCAGATTCTTTCCTAAAGCAGGAACATGCCGTACATTAGTCAAAGTTAACCTCCGCCCATCAACAGTCCTCAACCTCATGGAACCAATACCTGTGACCTTACATGGAGCATTGTTACCGACTATAACCATACCCCCATTGCGAGGTTCATATGTATCAAACCAATCTCGACGTGGACACATATGGAACGAACACCCCGAATCTAGAACCCAGTTATCAGATAAATCATCAGACCTAGCAGAACTGACTAATGCTAAATCTTCCTCTGAATTATAGCTCTCATTCGGTTTCTCTTCAACTACAGCAGCCTGGGACTTGTTTTTCCTCACCGGACAATTATTCCTAAAGTGACCCGGTTCTTTACAGTAATAACATGTTTTAGTAGTAGTTTTACTAGATCCATCCTTGCCGTTTCCAGCACCCGACCCAGCATTGTTCCCCTTGTTAAACCCCTTATTCTTTTTAGACTTTCCGGACTTAACAAATAACCCACTACCATTATCCCCATTATCACTCGTAGCTTTCATTCTGAGTTCCCTAGTATGAAGTGCTGCCTTCACTTCTTCTAAGGTTATAGAATCCTTACCAACAACAAAAGACTCTACAAAATTCTCAAAGCTAGACGGTAGAGATACAAGTAAAATCAACGCAGCATCCTCATCATCAATTTTAACATCTAAATTACGTAAATCAAGCAAAATAGAGTTAAGTTTTTCTAGATGTTCCCGTAAGGAAGTACCTGACTGCATCCGGAGGCTAAACAACCGCTGTTTCAGTAATAATTTGTTGGTCAACGACTTAGTCATATACAATGACTCCAGCTTCAGCCACAATCCAGCCGCCGTTTCCTGATCAGCAACCTCCGTGATGATTTGATCATCAAGACTAAGTAATATGGTAGAGTGTGCCTTCTCTTCCATAACTTCTAACTGCGAGTCAGTCGGTCCGTCTCCTGACTCCGAAGTAGTACTCTTTGGAGCCAACGGACGCCATATCTGCTGTTGTTTTAACAGAGCCTTCATCTTAATTTGCCATAGCCCGAAACTATTTTTCCCGGTAAACTTCTCAATTCTTATTGTTGAATCTCCTGCCATTGTTATCTTCAAGAAACTCTCCAAGGATTGAACCTGAGCTCTGATACCAATTGTTGTGCGACAGCGGAAGCAAAGGTCGTAAACAAACAAGAAAACAATAAAGAAATTCAATGCAAACAATAAGAACAACACCAAGAATTTACGTGGTTCACTATCGATGTGATAGCTACGTCCACGGGCACCGAGATCGAATGATTTCACTATAAACTGCAAAGATTACAAAGATGATTCTTGTATTTCTCAAGAACGGCTTTCACTCTGTCTCTCTTAACCCTAATACTGATTTTAGGGAGGTTTTATATTAATCCCTAATTAAAAGATACTTGGGCAAAAAGATAATAAAATAAGATAACCTAAAACCGCAAAATCCGCGTTCCGTATTTTTCCTTCTCCGCCCGGTCAGACCGGGCAAGGTCTGCCCGATCGGGCGCGAGAAGAAAACTCCATACGAATGCTTCAACGTATCCAACCCCCACCGCCCGGTCAGACCGGGCAAGGTCTGCCCGATCGGGCGAAGGCTCGCCCGGTCGGGCGAAGGCTCGCCCGGTCGGGCGCGAGAGCAGCTTCTTCAACGAATTTGCCAGGCACCTCTTCTTCTTCCGCCCGGTCAGACCGGGCAATGTCCGCCCGATCGGGCGGACAAAGCTACGAAGTACGAGTCACCTAATATACTTATCAACAATTATTATTATCATTATTATAACAAAAACAAAATCAGAATAATAGTCTCAAAAATTGGTGGAAGAGTATATCTTGTAAAGTGTAGCCAAAAAAAGCATCTCGTGCGTAAGCCACGAAGAATTGAACACATTTAAGATTTAATTAACACAAATATTACTCCATAGTATTTAGTTCATGCATTAGAAAAATAGTTTGTCCGTGCCATTTTATTTTCAAGTGTACACATTAACGCATTGTCATAACAGGCGGCCACTTTTTATTTATTTATTTATTATTATTATTATTATATCTCAAAAACAAAAGTCATACAACTTAAAATAAATTAGTGGAAAGTCGAGATATAATCTGGGCCCCCACTCCTCTAACAATAGCAAAGCCTACCCTAGTGAATAT